TGTGTGTGTGTGTGTCGTGTGTGTGTCGTGTGTGTGTGTGTCGTGTGTGTGTGTGTCGTGTGTGTGTGTGTGTGTCGTGTGTGTGTGTGTCGTGTGTGTGTGTGTGTGTCGTGTGTGTGTGTGTGTGTCGTGTGTGTCGTGTGTGTGTGTGTGTCGTGTGTGCGTGTCGTGTGTGTGTGTGTGTGTCGTGTGTGTGTGTGTGTCGTGTGTGTGTGTGTGTGTCGTGTGTGTGTGTGTGTCGTGAGTGTCTGTGTGTGTGTGTCGTGTGTGTGTCGTGTGTGTGTGTGTCGTGTGTGTGTGTGACGTGTGTGTGTGTGTCGTGTGTGTGTGTGTGTCGTCTGTGTGTGTGTGTGTCTGTGTGTGTGGTGTGTGGGGCGCGTGTCGTGTGCGTGTGTGTCTGTGTCGTGTGTGTGTGTGTGTCGTGTGTGTCGTTTGTGTGTGTGTGTCGTGTGTGTGTGTGTCGTGTGTGTGTCGTGTGTGTCGTGTGTGTGTGTGTGTCGTGTGTGTGTGTGTCGTGAGTGTGTGTGCGTGTCGTGTGTGTGTGTCGTGTGTGTGTGTGTCGTGTGTGTGGTGTGTGTGGTGTGTGTGGTGTGTGTGGTGTGTGTGTGTGTGTCGTGTGTGCTGTGTGTCGTGTGTGTGTGTGTCGTGTGTGTCTCGTGCGTGCGTCGTGCGTGTGTGTCGTATGTGTGTGTGTGTGTGTGTCGTGTGTGTGTCTCGTGTGCGTGTGTGTGTGTGTCTGTGCGTGTGTCGTGTGTGTGTGTTGTGTGTGTGTCGTGTGTGTGTGTGTGTCGTGTGTGTGTGTCGTGTGTGTGTGTGTGTGTCGTGTGTGTGTGTGTCGTGTGTGTGTGTGTGTCGTGCGCGTGTGTGTGTGTGTGTGTCGTGTGTGTGTGTGTGTCGTGTGTGTGTGTCCTGTGTGTCGTGTGTGTGTGTGTCGTGTGTGTGTGTGTCGTGTGTGTTGTGTGTGTGTGTGTCGTGCGTGTGTGTGTGTGTCGTGTGTGTCTGTCGTGTGTGTGTGTGTGTGTCGTGTGTGTTTGTCGTGTGTGTGTGTCGTGTGTGTGTGTCGTGTGTGTGTGTGTCGTGTGTGTGTGTCGTGTGTGCGTGTCGTGTGTGTGTGTCGTGTGTGTGTGTCCTGTGTGTCGTGCGTGCGTCGTGTCTGTGTGTGTGTGTTGTTTGTTGCGTGTGTGTGTGTGTGTGTCGTGCGTGTGTGTGTGTGTGTCGTGCGTGTGTCGTGTGTGTGCGTGCGTGGGTGTGGTGAGTGGGGTGTGTGTGTGGGGTGTGTGTGTGTGGTGTGTGTATGTGGTGTGTGTGTGGTGTGTGTGTGGTGTGTGTGGTGTGTGTAGTGTGTGTAGTGTGTTTGTGTGTGGTGCGTGCGGTGTGTGTGTGTGGTGTGTGTGGTGTGTGTGGGGTGTGTGTGTGTGTGGGGTGTGTGGTGTGTGTGTGTGATGTGTGTGTGTGGTGTGGGTGGTGTGGGTGTGGTGTGGGTGTGGTGTGTGGGTGTGGTGTGGGTGGTGTGGGTGTGGTGTGTGGGTGTGTGTGTGTTGTGTGTTGTGTGTGTTGTGTGTGTTGTGTGTGTGGTGTGTGTGGTGTGTGTGGTGTGTGTGGTGTGTGTGGTGTGTGTGGTGTGTGTGGTGTGTGTGGTGTGTGTGGTGTGTGTGGTGTGTGTGTGTGATGTATGAGGTGTATATGTATATATGATGTGTGTGGTGTCTGTGTGTGGTGTGTGTGTGGGGTGTGTAGTGTGTGTGCGGTGTGTGTGGTGTGTGTGGTGTGCGTGGTGTGTGTGTGTGTGGTGTGTGTGAGTGTGTGTTGTGTGTGTTGTGTGTGTGTGGTGTGTGTGGTGTGTGTGGTGTGTGTGGTGTGTGTGGTGTGTGCGTGGTGTGTAGTGTGTGTGGTGTGTGTGGTGTGTGTGGTGTGTGTGGTGTGTGTGGTGTGTGTGGTGTGTGGTGTGTGTGGTGTGTGTGGTGTGCGTGCGGTGCGTGTGGTGTGTGTAGTGTGTGTGTGTGTGGTGTGTGTGGAGTGTGTGTGGTGTGTGTGGTGTGTGTGGTGTGTGTGGTGTGTGTGGTGTGTGTGGTGTGTGTGGTGCGTGTGGTGTGTGTGTGGTGTGAGTGGTGTGTGTTGTGTGTTGTGAGTGTGTGTTGTGTGTTGTGAGTGTGTGTTGTGTGTGTGCGTGGTGTGTGTGGTGTGTGTGGTGTGTGTGGTGTGTGGTGTGTGTGGTGTGTGTGGTGTGTGGTGTGTGTGGTGTGTGTGGTGTGCGTGTGGCGTGTGTGTTGTGTGTGTGGTGTGTGTGGTGTGTGTGGTGTGTGTGTGGTGCTTAGTGTGTGTGGTGTGTGTGTGGTGTGTGTGGTGTGTGTGGTGTGTGTGGTGTGTGTGGTGTGTGTGGTGTGTGTGGTGTGTGTGTGGTGTGTGTGGTGTGTGTGGTGTGTGTGGTGTGTGTGTGGTGTGTGTGGTGTGTGTGGAGTGTGTGTGGTGTGTGTGGTGTGTGTGGTGTGTGTGTGTAGTGTGTGTGGTGTGTGTGGTGTGTGTGGTGTGTGTGGTGTGTGTTGTGTGTTGCGTGTTGTGCGTTGTGTGTTGTGTGTTGTGTGTTGTGTGTTGCGCGCTGTGTGTTGTGTGTGTGTTGTGTGGTGTGTGGTGTGTGTGTGTTGTGTGTTGCGTGTTGTGCGTTGTGTGTTGTGCGCTGTGCGTTGTGTGTTGTGTGTTGCGTGCTGTGTGTTGTGTGTTGTGTGTTGTGTGGTGTGTGGTGTGTGTGTTGTGTGTTGCGTGTTGTGTGTTGCCTGTTGTGTGTTGTGTGTTGCGCGCTGTGCGCTGTGTGTTGTGTTGTGTGTTGCGTGTTGTGTGTTGCGTGTTGTGTGGTGTGTGTTGTGTGGTGTGTTGCGGGTTGTGTGTCGTGTGTGTGTGGTGTGTGGTGTGTGTGGTGTGTGTGGTGTGTGTGGTGTGTGTGGTGTGTGTGTGTGGTGTGTGTGTGTGTGGTGTGTGTGGTGTGTGTGGTGTGTGTGTGTGCTGTGTGTGTGGCGTGGCGTGGCGTGGCGTGGCGTGGCGTGGCGTGGCGTGGCATGGCGTGGTGTGGTGTGGTGTGGTGTGTTGTGGTGTGGTGTGGTGTGTGTGTGTATGTGTGCGTTTGTGTTTTGGTGTGTGTGTGTGTCAAAGTGCGTGTGCGTGAAGGTGCGTGTGCGTGAAGGTGCGTGTGCGTATGTGTGCGCACGAAGGTGCGTGCGCAGGTCTGCGTGTGCATGTGCGTGTGGGTGTGTGTGTGTGTAGGTGTGCAGGTGTGTAGGTGTGTAGGTGTGTAGGTGTGCAGTCCGTGTGTGTTTGTCAGGGAAAGGAGTTTGTGTGTGTGGTTGGGGTAGGTGGGTGTGGGTGGGTGTGGGTGAGTGTGGGTGGGTGTGGGTGGGTGTGGGTGGGTGGGTGGGTGTGGGTGAGTGTGGGTGGGAGTCGATGGGAGTCGATGGGTGGGTGCGGGTGTGCAAATATATTATGAGGGTTGTCCAATAATCCTTGCTCCAAAATCGCCCTCCGCCTCGCCCTTCCGCAAACTTTCGCGAACTTCCGCAATGGAGGTATAACCACACGTTCTGACACGTGTCTGAACATAGGTAAGTTTCCGTAAAGTAAAAGTAAAGCAAGCCAAGAGGAAAAGCTAGCGCAGAAAGCAAGAAGTAGACTAGGAATGGAGCGAGGATGGGACGAAGAGCAGAATGAGCAAAAGCAAGGAGAAGGACAAGCAAACGTAGGAAGCGGAGCAGCAGAACACCGGAGAAAGAAAAGGAAGGAGGATTGTGGCAACAAGCGACAAGCTACGCTACGTAAAGAGACTAGCCACCCGCCGCGCACGGCGACAGCCACAGTTGCGGGGGATTCGTTTTGGTATCGTTTTGGGTATCGTTTTGAGCACTAGCGCGCTGCTACAACTGCGGCGTCCCCGGGCGAGAGAATGAGCAGCAGCACTGGTTTCACGCTAAAACAGGAGACGGGTGGGCCAGCCCCGGCGCAAGGCGACAGCTGCAATTGTATGGGTTTCGTTTTGGCATCGTTTTGGGTATCGTTTGGAGCTCCGAATGCAATGCCGGAACGAAAAACAAATTTCGGACCGCGAATTTTGTTTTTCGCGCTTTTCTACAAACTCTGCCGCGGGAATCAGAAGGACCGCCGAATACGATGCAGCTCAGTTGGCCCCAGGCACTTCGCGGTATCGTTTCGGAATTGCGCAGGTATCGCTCGGGGTATCGTTTTCATCTCCGTACAAATCAACACATGAAGCACACTTTGACTTTGACAGCCCAGCTGAAACATCGCAGCTTTTAAGTACTAGCAGGGTACGAGCTGTCCCAGCTCAAGCAGCACAACTTTTCAGTACTCGTGCAGGACAAGAGGAAAGCTTCATCCCATGATAACACATAACCTTCCGCGAAACTTCCGCTCGCCCTTCTGCGGTCTTCCGCGACCACAGCGCCGTAACACCGAATACGCTTTCGTATTCAGTCCTTACAAAAAAGTCCATAAGGGGGTTTTGGTCGATCTTCATATGTTTATACGTGCGTGTGTGTGTGTGTGTGTGTGTGTGCACATTGAAATGTGTGTGGAGGAGAATGCGTACATGCACATGTGTGGTGTATGTAGGCGTTTGCGGTCTAGTACTCGTGCTGAAGTTTGTTTGCTTGTGTCGATCGTTCATTCGTTTGTCTGTCTGTCTGTCTGTCTGTCTGTCTGTCCGTTCGGTCGCTTGTTTCTGTATGTGTTGCGTGTTTATTCGTTTGTCCGCTTCAATTTGTTTTGATGTTTGTGCTTGTTTGTTTCGTTGGTTGGTTGGTCGGTTGGTTGGTTGGTCGGTTGGTCGGTCGGTCGGTTTGTTGGTTTGCTTGTTTGATTGCTTTGATCTGTTTTGTTTGATTGGATGCAACTTGATTCGCTTGATTTTGTGTGATTCTATTGATTCTATTTGTTTGTTTGTCTCTTTGCGTAAGCACAATCGTGTGTTACCAGCGTTTGGGTGAACGCCACAGATCCCGCCTCGAAATAGCCAGGCTTGGCCCTGAGAAGACCGTGCTCGATGTCATCCAGACTCATCTGCCAACACGCCGCCCATCAACTCAGCCACTCACAAACGCAAACACGTGGACACAGGTCAACTTCGGATTCATCCGGACCCCAAATAGAGGAATCCCCATAGCAATGTGGCGTGCGAATATCAAGTCAAGCGTTCCTTTCAGCAAATTTGAAATCGGCACCTCGGCATGCGAACTGCTGCCCTGTCCTGAACTCCAGCAATGCGGTACGAGACCGCAGGCGTGATGAAAAAGCAGTACAAATACCTGAGCTTGGTAACAGGCACCCTATGCAAGCATCATTCCGACATCTCCAGCACGGCCAAACGTATTGACATGTAGAAAGCGCCTATCGCAGCTAAGCAACCACCAGCCAGAACGCCGGCCAAAGGTGGCAACACCATGGAAGGTCCTGGATGGAATCTGGTCTTTGAACGCTCTTGAACAGTCTCGCAAACAAAACATAAACCTGGGTGTGGCTCAAAGTTCAAGAGCCTGACTGCAGATCGGCTTTCCACTTTCTCCCTTTGCCAGGGCTCCATTTTGGGCCATTTTAGAGTCACACCCAACTCACAAGCAAGTGTCATGAGCTGCGCGTGCTTCGAAGCTGAGGTGCTCACATGGCATTGTAGAGATTGATGAAAAATGCCTAGTTTCGCGCGCACACCGCGGAAAGAACCCTCGACTCTTTCCGCATGGCATCGCCAATGTCAGCTCGTCCCTGCTCTGAAATCAGACTTTCCAGAACTCAACCACTTATAACAACTTAGTTGATCATCTGATCGCTTGACCCATACACACCTACACGCAAGCTCTCTCTCTCTCTCTCTCTTGGTCCTTGCGGTCTTCCTCTGGCATGGCTGCCAGCTGCGGCTGCAGCCGTGGCCTGGGCGCTCGGCGCGCCGCTGTTTGCTTCGGCTCTGCGTCGGCTTCGCTTGAGCCCCGACTGACCCAACTCCGCCGCCAGGGCGCGGAAGAGGCTCCACCTCGCGGAGTCGACTGAGTCGACTGAGTCGACTGAGTCGACTGAGTCGACTGAGTCGACTAGTCGACTGCGTCCTTTTCAACGGTTGGCCTTCAGGCTGAGACCCCCGCTCTGTAGATCGGCGCATGGCCAGGTAGTCCACGTCACCACCTCTTGAAGCACATGCGCAATGCGCACAGTGCAAGTCAGCCCGGCGCCCGGCTGTCGGGGTCTGAAAAATTGTCCAGCAGCTGCAACCTCAGACCGCTTGCCACTCAGCAGGTCCTTTTTGTCCACGTCACACATCTGCCAATAAGGCAACTCATTTCATATCAGCCACAGCATGTGAATAAAGAAGTAAGTAACCATTTTGCATGTGCTGGCTAGTTGTCATTGGTGCCGATGCTGTGGCGAGCACATGGACTGCCGCAGCAGGGCCTGAGCCGCAAGCGCCACCTGCTGGCTGTCGATCCCATGGGGTCCCGGCTGTGAGTTCCTGCGCCGAGGTGTCTGGCAGAGCAGGAGCCGGCTCTTCAGAACCCGGGTGCACCTGTGGAAAAGGAGACGGGCAGCACCAAACCAGGCGTTGTTCCTTTTCAGCGGCCAGCTGTGAGTCAACATCACCTTCCATGCAAGCGCGCGCTGTTTCTCTGAAAAACTAGTTCGACCAATGCTCTTGCCAAGGCACCGCCAGGTTCAGTGGCACGTTTTTGCTCTGATCCTGTCGGCACTAAACAGAGGCAGGCTGCTTCTGTATCTTGGACAAAGGGCACCTGGAGGAGAGCTCAAGAAATGATTGAACCCTCGCCCGACTGGAAATCCTGCCACTTGGGGGTTGTCACCGATGCCTGTTTAGGGCTGCGCGTCACTGCATAGCGCAAGAAGCCCAGGAGCGTCGGCTTGCTGCCGGCCTGAGACAGCGTGGCTTTGCTGCGAAGTCCCGAAGGTCCGCAAGGCGCCTGGTACTGCAACTTGCTCATGGCCTACGAAGAACACGGAGATCGCAAAGAGCTGCAAAGAGGACTTGGCCTCCACCCGAGGAAGCAGCTGTTGGCGGATGGCCTGGCCACAAAACGTATGCCAAAGCTTGGCACAAAGACTGGCCTTGCCTCAGGCACTGCTGCTGCCACCATTTTCTCCGGTGGAGTGGGCGCTATCAGGTCGCCATCCTAGCAGTTCACAACGTGCCACATGATCACATGTTTCTCGGATGTTAGACTTTCTGACCAAATGAACCGGACTCACCCAATGAAATATGTCTAGGGTTGGTTTAAGATGAGTTTAGGGTTAGGGCAGGCGTAGGGTGGGTTTGTGTTGGTTTAAGCTTGCTGCTTGCTCGCTCGCTCGCTCACTTGCAAGTTTGCTCGCTTACTTGCTTTCCGCGGACTCGAAAACAAAGGTCCAAATCCGGCGGGTGCAAAAACCTCCAATGCTATGGCACCCCAATGACTTCCGATCGAAAGAAGTGGACACCCAAACTAACTGTCAGACTTTCACATATCTGTCGCAAGATTAACGCCTTGCCTTTGCGACGTTCGACTTTCGCTTGCCGCTTGCCCCTCCTCTGACTGGCGCCGCAGCGCCTTTTCGAGGCGGCCCTCCTCGTCCAGGCGCTGCAGTGCATCGAAGCCTCACGGGCAGCCAGACATGAAACGAGAAAACGCGACACGAAGCGAGTTTAGGAAATGCATTAAAAATACTTTGCAAACTAACATATATTAACAACTTGCAAATGTTGCATTTTGCGAAATGCGGAGGCCTCCCACGGATCGGCTGCCCACGAAGACCTGCGGCAGCGTCGTGGCGCCGGAGCGCCGCTGGGCCTCCTCCCGGCGCTCCTCCGCCGCGACGTCCACCACGCCGAAAGGCACCCGGCGCTTCGTCAGCAGCGCCTTGGCGCGCGCGCAGAAGGCGCAGCCCGGGCGGCTGAAGACCACCACGTCCTCCGAAGCCGAAGAAGACGAAGCGCGGGCCGCGGCAGCTCGCGGCTGAGCCATGCGCACAAGCGCTGCCGCGAGCCCTGCCGCTGCACGTGCGCCGCTTGCGCCGGCAGCGCCGGAAGCGCCGGGGGCACGGGGGCGGGGCCGGAGGCGAGGCAAAGGCCGCAGCAGCGCCTGGTGCAAAGTGGCGGTGACGCTCCGTGCACGCAACGCCTGGTTGCCCAGCCTGAAGTCTCCCAGGTCGAGAAGGCACGCAGCGCATGTGTGAGTAAGTGCAGCCCACTGCAATCATGTTGTTGTGCCCAAAGGTGACAAGAGTCCATTACACAGAACTTGCCGCCCGTAGAGTGAGCTCATTACTAAATGATTCGTGTCAAGCACAAACATCGGGTCCAGAACCGTTTAAGGAAAGTGCTTTCAGTGCTTTCAGTGCAATGCTGGCTGCCTGCAATAAACTTGCTCGAATAAGGATGCAACATGTTTTCTTCTCAAGCACATAACATGGCATTCACAAACACAACATGTGTCTTGCATGCAATGAGGCACCAAGCCGAACGGCTGTATTCCATGCGTGCAAAGCTCGCCGTCCGGGCCAAGCTCCTGTTTCATCACACTCCCAAAGGCTCGCACAGAAGTGCATAAAAAGAAGCCCGCGTCAAGCATACCACAAGCATATCATTGGAGAGTCCCAAATGTCCGAAGTTGCAAAGGATCTAGATCCAGCAACTCCGAAGGCTGCAGGCCCTGGGTTTGCAATCGGGCTTGGTGAACACCAAAGAGGCACCCGATGGCCATAGGACTGGCCTCTGAGCTCTCAAACTCCGGGAGTTGTCAGTGTTAGCGCACGGCTTTAAAACGAGCCTGCAACCTGAGCGAACCAACCCTGCTGCGCAGGAATGCGCTGTGAATTCATGGAGACTTGGACGGACCATGGAAATGTGTGCAAATGCTCAATTCAAACCTGGAGAAATGCTCCATTCAAATGATTTCCGTGGTCAAAGAGTCAACGCCTCTCCAGAACGTTGAGCGAGTATGCTCTTGGTTGGGCGCATGGGGTCAGTTGTTGCCCAGCAGAAAATATGGCCCAAGACTCATCCAGGCTGTTGCTGGCGTCAATAGGATGCTTGGGACTTGGGACCGGTCGACAGATGGAAGCCACATGGAAGCCATATGGAAGCCATGTGGAAGCCGCATGCAAGCCACCCATTTGCCAGACTCACCCCAAACGAATGGGCCCCGAACTGGATCGCTCAGCCAGGAGACCGGATGGATTTCCGATCGGAAGTGAACAAAAGGCCTTCAACGCCTCCAGGCCGAGCTCACTGTACACAGCTCACCGTCAGCCTTGCGAGAGCCACGTCAACGAGCTACGAGTTTCATGCTTAGCTGCGATGTGCTTCACTCTCAAGCTCTGCTTCTGTGCAGAGCTAAGTGTTGAAATGGCCTTGCCGCTAAGCCCCAACAGAGCTAAAAACCCACCCTGGCCTCATTTCTTCATTTGCCTTTGCCACGTGGCTCCTGCCAGTTCGGCGAGTTGGCCGAGTCTCACACGTGGCAGCACCACTGGCGTGCAACATGCTCTCGCCTCAGGGCAGTCACGCGCCAAATGGCCCGGGCCACCACCTTGTCGCGAGCTCAAGAACGACGGTCTCGGGAGACGGCGGCCATCAGCTCACTCATGCCGTTGCCATGAAAACACTGCAGCTGAGATGCAATTGTAGCAAGCATCATCTTTTCCACCTTGCAGCAGACAGCATCAGTGCATCGTCAGCGGACGCAACACATGCCGGGTTCCAGATGCGTGAACAAGCAATTGGCAGTCCCATAGATCTTATACGTCCCATCTGAGGCGCTCTGTCAAATACGCGCTGCTCTTATGGCATCTAGCACCCTTCAAATAGGACGTGCAAACCTCCATCGGACATCTGCATGCGGGCCGCCTCGCTTGCCACCGCCTTTCCCTTTTGGGCAGTCTCGGGAGATGTGGCCAGAGCCCTGAGCCACAGCGCAGATGCAACATGGTCCTTGACAATGACACTTGGCATGCCCAAGATAGCCCACAAAGGTGGCATTCAAGGCAAGTCTACTGATGCTGTCCACGGAATTGTCTGATGGAGGGGTATATTTAAGCAATCTCTGTTCTGTGGACTGGACGAGGGAGCCTCTGTGGCTTTACTGCGCAAAAAGTAATGAAATCAGGTTGGGGACAAAATCCTTCCCACAAGTTCAGCGAAACAGGTTCGGCACGTGGCCTGCTCACAAGCTTTCAATCAAGAAAGCGATCGTCAAGGAAGCTTTCCCCAGAACAGTTTGCGAGCAAGCCAGTGCTTCAAATTGTCAAACACACCAGTTAAAGCAATGTCCTCCCGGGCACTTGGAGTGGCATGTTCACCGGCCGGGTTAATCGGTACGAAAGCAAGTCAGCTGCCCTGGAGATATACAATATACACATGCCTACACAATACATGCTCCCCTACAGATTAACATGAAACCCAAAAGTGTGAATTGTACAGTGGATCGCGCCAATTCAAAGGGAACATCAACTGCCTTCTGGTTTAAACATTAGAACATCACGAGGGCAACAAATCAGCCAGCTGGCGCGCAAAGCATGCTGGTATGATATTGAGAGCATGACGTATCGGTTGTTGATTTTTTGTTGCGGTCTGATGTCGGCACGATATCCCAAAGTTTGCACAAGCTTGCAAAACAGGCCTGCAGAAGCTATCTATAATCTAAAACGAGACCGTTGATTCTCTGTCCGAACCAATCCGCAAATCAAATGCAAACCGTCCTTAAGGCTTTCCAAACAACTGAGTGCTCCGAATGTCGTTCGATTGAGCTTTTGCAAGCCAAATAGACGGGAAGCTGATTGCACAAGGGTCAAATGGTCTACGTAATATTGCCCGAAAACTCCAACGGGCTTTCGAAAGCCACATGGGGGCCATAGCTGCGGCAATATAACTAAATCAGTCCAATGCTTGTGCCACATCGGCACCCAAACTAAAACTAACTTGCCAAACAGAGTTTGGCCAAGTGTCTCCGCAGTTGTAGCATTCGACACGTCGGTCCTGTGCTCAAGTTCGAAACCCAAGTCGTGAGGTGCACACATTACGAGCATCCAGTTTGTCTCGCTTTCCTGTTGTTGTCTCAGCCCGCCTTTCCGTCCTTGCCCTTGCCATTGCCCTTCTCAGGACAATCTCGAGCCAGGTGACCTTGGCCTTGGTCCAGCTTGTGCTTCTCTCACGCCCATTGCAATGTGAATCGAGTCTGCTTGCAGCACTGGGCTCCCAGCCACCACACGTGAAGCAGGCATCATCTGACCACTTGCCCCCCTTACCGCGACCTGCACGAGCACGGCAAATTCGCTTTCCAGCTTTGCCAGCCCCACGATCCCATGCTCAATCCGACGGCCCGCGCCTTTACGCTTGCCCTTGTCGTGTTGCCTAAGGCGCAAGCTGCTTCGCTTTGTTCTGAGGCTCGGACCCTCGGACCCTCGGACCCTTCGACCTCGCCTGTGCAGTGAAAGCTCGTGCGCCTCCGCCAACTGTCTCTTGGTCTCCGGGTCCATGTCCTCAGTCCGAGGAAAAGTCGGTCAGCTCAGTCCGGCTAGCACCTGCTTGGAGGCAACCCACAGCGCTTGCTTTTGCACTTTCAAGGCGTACGCTTTAAGCGGTTCTGGAGCCTTGAAGTTCCAAATGGGCACTTAGACTTGCTCAGGGTCGCATGCCTCGAGCACAGTTCCTCAGCCCCGAAAACTGACCAGCAATCAATCGTGGTGTCATTGTCAAGCTCGCGCTGAGCGAGTTGCAAGCAGCACCAAACGTGCAGCACCCGTTGAATTGAGGAGTTCATGCAAGGTGTACCTCCAGCGCGATCTTTCCCAGCATGAGCGCTTCGCCGCCCATGTCCAGCCAACCATGAAGCGCAGGCAAATGCTTCCCATCGGTGAGGATGTTCTTCCAGGACTTCTTAAAAATCTCACCTATCCAGAGACAGGACTGGCTTGCCGCTTCACAAGCTTGAACAATCGAGCTCCCACGCCTTCAGTTCCCACCACTCTCAGATTGTTCTTGCCATCCGCGCCAATGGTGACCTAACGGACGCATGCGAGAGATGCGAGAGATGCGAGAGATGCGAGAGATGCGAGAGATGCGAGAGATGCGAGAGATGCGAGAGATGCGAGAGATGCGAGAGATGCGCTCGCGCGGTACGGGCCTCGAAGGAGTGGAACTTGTGCCCAGACTGTGTCCAGTTCTGCGGGGTAAAGCCCATATCGGAGTTCCCGAAGCCTCCGACTCCTTCGACTCTCAGTTGTCCTGAAGCCACGCTTCAGTCCGTCTCTGTCACTCTCAAAGTCATCAAAGTCACACTCTCGGCGTTCTCTGTCCTTGTTCCATTGCAGGATGGAACCTGCATGCGCACACATTTCACAAAAATGGCAGGCCGGAAGAGCAGAGGCCAACAAAGCCAGGCAACTTAATTGCATTGCAGTTCTTGTCCCCCTCCAAGCCGTAGCCATTGTAGATGTAGGATGGCAGGCCCTTACTATCCACAGTGCCTAGGCAAGTGCAAGCGGGATCTGTTCAATTTGTTCGCCCTGAAAAGCTTCAGTTTGCCGCGTTGCTGTCCATGAAAGGGGACTGCTGAAAGACCACACCAAGACCTCCCAGAACATTGACTGCAAATGCAAAGGGATTGCAGATTGCGGTGAGAGTCGGATGCGATGGTGCACAATTAGGTCCGAGCCGCCTCGGTTGTAAGCGTCCGAGTTCAGCTGCACGCGGTAAACAACCTTCGAGAAGCGCTCTTTCTTGTTGAGGCTGAGCAAAGGCTCCGCATTGAGTGCTGGCAGCCTCAGTCTGTGTACCAGAACCAAAGTGGCCAGCACAGCCGACGGTGCGGCCGGAACGCCAAACGCCCAGTGTGAGTAGGTGATGTTTCCGGCACTGGGCCACACACAAGCGAGTAAATGAAATGATGAGTGGCAGCAGGTGGCCCTGAGTGCTCATCTCCAGGCCGTGCTCCGTACTCTTCAAGTGCTCTATCGTCACTGGCAATCCTCCCATGTCCTGCAGGGAACTCCAACCCCCGCCTCTGCGACTTGGCCACGGGAGGGCTCAAGCGCCCTAACCCCATGTCAGTGGCGAGAGACGTATCTCCTCCAGCACTGCAAGAATTGATGGAATCACGGGGATCACCTTGATGTTCGTTGCTCCTCAGTGTCTACGCGCCTCGCCAACTTGTGCGGATCACACATGCCGGATGCCTCCGGGTGAGCCCGCTCGCTTGAGCAGCTCCTTGTAGCCATTGTAAGAGCCTCCCAACGATGTGACGTTCCACACGCTCGTGTTAAGATACTATGGCACACGCCCTAGTGTGAATCGAAACGTGGCCGCATCGGCATCTGCGGATGTCCAACCGCCATTGGGCCCCGCGCCTGCGGCTTGCAGCAGCTTCTCCACGTCAGTCTCCCGCGCCACCACGGCGAAGATGGGCTGCTCTGCGTCCAGCTCCGAGACTAACTTCCCCTCGGGCAGCACCTGACATGTCCGCAACTCTCCATCGCTCGCTCGCTCACAGCACGGCGCCTCGGTCGAGTGGAACATCTTCAGGTAGCAAGCTTCGGGCACCTGTCACTGACAGACATCGGCCATTAGGCCATCGGGCCATCGGGCCATCGGGCCATCGGGCCATCGGGCGTGGGACAGCCCGAGCAGAAAGGAACCCACGAAAAGTCATGCCATTGCTTGCGACATTCGGCAAAAGAATGTGGGTGGATGTCTGTGGTCCCGTGAAACTTACGCGGATCAGCTTCGACTTTCGGCCCATGCCTCGATCTGCTTCTCCAACTTCAGACGCAAATGGCTCACGGAATCCCGCGGCTCGGCTTCAACTTCATAAGTTGCACCGCCGGCCAGGGACACCGAGAAGACCATCGCCATCGGCTCGGCTATAGGCGTGCTATACCCGGGGCGGGACCCAAGCTAGGCTGGAACGGTGCAAAGTGCAAATCAAGCAATCAAAGCACACTGGCACTCCGTGGCACTCCCTGGCACTCCGTGACACACTGGCAGCCCGGCCACATGCTTCTCAGCATGTGCAGCAGACTCCGGCAGCATGGCGATGAGACCAGCAATCTGAGCAACTGTGGACAGATTTGGCATGGAGTGGCACAGTTTCTTCCCTGCACTTGTTGCGTCAATTGCCGCGCCCTCGTGTTGCCTGCTGCCAGTTAGTATCATCCGCATCATTAATCTTGACCTGTACTGGGTCTGCTGGCCAAACCAGAATCACTCAAAATGCCTCTAGGCTTGGACTGTCCATGACATCTCTCTTTTGTGCAACGGAACCCAACAGTGCTGCACAGTCCAAGGTGGAGGAAACGTGTCACGGATTGAATCCAGCACTACCTCTACGCATGTTGCACACACACCGCTAGTGGGGGCCAGATCGTCTCCCTCGCCCACATTACCTGGGCGCCCCTGCAACATCGTCCACCCAGGCCTGGCCAATGCGTACCATTTGATTGTGAGCGACACCTCGGACCTTATTTGGCGAATCCCTCAGCCCCCCCCAAAAAAAAAGAAAAGAAAAACAAACCAAAAAACTAGACTGCTGGTGGAGCAAACGGCATATGATGCAATTTCCGTGTCAGCGCCTCGCCCTGGGTGACCTTGCGAATACAAACCTCCAATGGTCCTGACAAGGCTCTCAGACTCGCCACTGCCACTCAGCGCACAAAATCGCTGCAAGCCTCTCCCGTGCGCCTGGATTGTCAAAGGATGCCATCTTTGCGCCATCCATCCCAACACCTCGCACGCGGAGGTTGGTTTCGCTGGCCTCTCTCACAACACACTCCCCTGGACTCCCCTTTTGGCTCTCTTGCCGCATTGCCGTACAGCTGAGAGTAAATGCGTACTGCCAGCCCTCGAAAAGTCTGAGAGTCTAGCTCGCGAAAAGCTCCGCGATCCTTGGCTCCGGGCGCCGAGAGGCTCTAGGCAGCTTGGGCTCAGCAAAGCAACCGGTTGCCCAGCAAAGCGGCTTCGCTTCACGGTCTGTGCGAATGAAAGCCGGCTTCTCCTGGCACAGCTGATGCCATTCCGGACAGGAGTGCGAGTTGAAGCTGCCATCAAGAGTACTCTAAGAGAAAGCAAGTCTCCTTCAACTTTCCATCAGCCTCAGCAGTGCACATGTCAAATGCTTCAAATGCATCTGTGATCCTCATGGATGTCCGGAGTCGAATGTCGAGGCATTCGGTCCCCCGCCACCAGGCGGTCGCAAATAGCGCAGGCAAGCTCCTGGCCGGTCCACTGCTCCTGGCAGAGAACTTCAACCCAGCCCCCAGCCCCCAGCCCCAAGCGCCCCAGCCCAGCGCCTGGAAGGCCATGGCTTCGAACGGATTCGCTCGTAATTCGCGTTCGGGGGGGGGGGGGGGGCGGATTGGGCAGGTATGCCTATGGCGGCGCCGCTGCTTGCGCCTGTCGTATCGTATGCTTGGCCTGCGAGAGGTTCAAGAGAGAAGCCTGCCTCAACCCAACCGCTCGTCCACGAAAGGGCAAGTTCGGGGTCGAGAGAAGCTCTCAAAGGGTGGCTGGCTCACAAATTCGAGGGCATGGGATGCTCATGCAATTGAAGTTCCTGAGCCGGAACTGGCTGCTTGCAGCATGCACTGTGTAGACAACAACAGCCTGTCTCGTGAGAAAAGCTCCAGACCTTGCCTCTTGTAAACACATCGAGTCGCCTGAACTCGGACATTGCTTTTTGCTGGCTGGACTTTTAGCCGAATTCAAGATCCTGGGGATGCCACTGAACGCCATTCGGCGAAAGGTGGAAGTACCTCAGACGGTTCACCCAGTCGAAAGGTACCTGGCCCTCTTTGTCCCTGCATCATGCATGGTGATGTAACATTCAGTAGTTTGCAGCATGGCAACATTTCCATCCGTTGCCGCAGTCTGCAGATCAGATGCCTCTAGGCAGAACGTGTTTCACTGATTCCCTTTGCAGTGCATGGTGCGTGTCTTTGCAGGACTGAATTCGAGACGGAAGCTGCACAGCGAAGCAACAGCAAAAGGTGCGGCTCTGGATCGCCCCGTCATCTTGGGGATGCATGGCACGGCAAGGGTTTCTGAGGCTGAGTGTCGATTCAACTTGGTAGCGGAGCCCCTGCGTTCATTCTGGGGGCTTATCTGTCACTGTTCAATGCTGAAGATGTGCGGACTGGTTTTGGTCTTGTTGGCGGGTTACGGCATGGTCGTGCTTCAATTCCCGGCAATGGGTCAGACTGACCTTGTCTTGGCAGACGGCAACCGGACTGTGGCGGTGAATCAGACATTCACTACCACTACTAGCACACAGGTGCCGCTGTCTGACGTTATCCGCAAAGCAGCTTTGGACGTGCAGCATGCAGTTGAGCTGATGAATGTGATCGCCGAGACAATAGATGATGCAGCAGTTGACGGCAGTGCAGGAATTTACACCGCAGGCAGTGCAACATCTTTTGATGAGACAGACGAATCTGGCATGTATGAAACACACAGAATCTTCAATCAGTCTATCTTGAGCAATGCAACGAACTTGCCGGAGGTCTCATCCCATGATGAGCCATATGATGCGGAGTTTTCTTTCCTGCAGAATCTGACGGACCTGATGCAGTATGCCCGATCTCAAGCACAACGCTTGGATCTGTTGCTAAGCAAGGTCGAGCAGTTTGTGCAAGCAGATGGTATGAGTTTTGAGGCTGACAGCAATCTTACAGTACACTGGCGGCGACTTGTGGCGCAAGATGCAGCACCGACTACGAGATCGGCTGCATTTATGACGTGGGTCGTCAGGTGGCGGTGGTTTTTGCTCTTTTCTGGGATGTTCTGCATTTTTGCATCAATGACTCCTGGATTCATGGGGCGGAACAGACATGGGCCACCGCCGAGACAGTTTTCTCACATCGGAGATGCGGGCCCACCGTATGTGGGTACGGCCACGCTCAAAGTACCACCATGCGCTGAACGAAACACGCTGTATAGTCTGCGCTCTTGGCTGTCAGATGTGATATCTGCAACAGACCTTGATGCGGTGCGTCAGGGGCCGGCGCTTCAGATCAGCGGAGCTGCTCGTGAGCTGATACGTGAAATTCCACAACATCTGCGTGACGGCATTGATCCACAGACTGGGCAACAGGTGCCCGGATTGATGGTGCTGGCTCAGGCTCTGGTGGCTAGGTACGCGCCACTAGATGCTGAGAATGTGACGCGGGCTGTGAAGGAGCTAATGCATTTCTCCCGACTGCCTCATGAGGATATGGATTCTTTTCTCGCTCGCTTCGATATCCTGCGGAACCGTGCAGCGCAGAGAGGCGGAATGGCTTTGAATTCGGAAGGTTTGTCGTGGATTTTGCTGAATGCTCTCAAGCTGTCACCAGAAGGCTGGGATAGACTCCTGTTCTGGAACGATGGTCATCTTCCTCGTGATGGAGCAGAGATGGAGCAATTGATGGGACGTTTGAGGCGCGCAGGACATGTGAGAGAAGGGTTGCACCATCGCGATTCTGGCCAAGGTGGTGTTGGTGATCCTGGTGCATATGATTTCCCATCGTTTTCTACTCCTGGTCCAATGCAGTTTGATATTTCTGGTGGCGATGGAGCCAATCTCACAGCAGATGCCTCATTTCATCAAGCACCTCACTCAGCAGACAGTTTCATGCCAAGCGCATTTCCGGCATGGAACATGGAGTCTGATGCAGCTGGACAACAGTGCAATGCCTGTGGATGCTATTTTGATGATGAAGACATTTCATCTGCCACGGAATCCGATGATGGACAGCCAAACGACGATGTGGACAATTTTGAGCAGTTTGTCACTGTCGATGGTCAGGAACGCACTGACGATGCCGCATATGGTGATCAGTTGTATCACGACTATTTGATGGCTCGCAAACGCTGGAGAAGATATGCGGGTAAGCCACCTAGGCGGTATCGCAAGTTCAACCGACGACCTGATCGCTGGCAGAAGGTGCAGGGACGCTTTCAGAGAAGCCCGTTTGGCAGATCCTATGCTTCGTTCTTGCCAGGCTATGGTTTCTGCCAATTCGATGATTCCTGGCGTTTCTTTCAACTACATGATGAGTGGCGTCAGTGGTCAGCACAGAAGCAAGGCATCCCGGAGCATGGACTACGAGTTGGAGAGTCTGCGAAGTGTTGCTTCGAGTCGCAGCAAGCGGAGGACAAGTCGCGCTTCTGGTTCGGATGGCGTGACGGCCACGGAGGAGGATTATCCTGAGCCGCCTCAGTGGGAGGCATTGGTCCCTGGGGTAGCTACTCCCAAGAGTGCGCCACCTTCTCAACCACCGGACCTGGTGGCCACAAGTCCTTCTGCTTCCGCGGAGGAGGATGCCAGGCGGAGGACCACCTTGCAGTTGACGCAACTTCTGCAGAGCAATCAGTTTGATTCGGCCGGTCACTTTCCTTGGTGGGAGACTTCCAGCAATGAGTCGCCTACAACCGGTGTGCAGTCCTTTAATGCTCGGACCAGGATTGGAGGTCGAGTTGGTTTGCTGGTGGACCCTGGTGCGCATGACAACTTGATAGGTGGTGCGACCCGACATGACATGGCTCAGCAGCTGAAGGTGGACGTCAGCGAGCGCAAGCTCAACAATGTGCTTTCGGTGAGTGGAGTTAGAAAATCCACTCAGGAGGCTGCCACTTGTGGCTCGGGTGCGATGTTCTTTTAAGAACTTTGATGGCGAGCAACTTGGTGGGTCTTACACTGCGCCCGTGATTCCGCAGAGCACGCTTCCACCGCTTCTGGGTCTGAAGTCGCTGCAGGCCAAGAAGGCCATTCTGGACAGCTGGAGATGAGTGACAGTGGTCATTTGATTTTGCCTCTTGACGAGCCAGCAGTGAGTGTGGAGGCGGAGCAGAGCGCCAAGCAGAGCAAGCACGATCAGAGACTGGACTTTGTGATGTGGTGCCGGAACGGACGGGGTCAACCCTCTGTTGCGGCTCGCTCCAGCGAGTGACTAGCGGCCGATGCGCCGCCTATAATTCAGTGCAATGTGGCGCCAAAGATGAAGCAGACAGCGAAGACTGGGACTGCTGAACAACTGGTGTGGATTATCAGTGATGTTTCGGGTGTTCGACAAGAGATTTTTCTTAGTGCAGATTGCCGGGTGATGAGCTTTCAACATGATTTGCATTCGCGACAGCATTTGAATTCCATGTTGCGAGGTTTGGAGGCGCAGCCGCCCGCTTTGGTGTGGATCAGATTGCATGGACCGTGTAGTGGTTCGGGCAATAGACGGGATGTTTCTCGCATGCAGAACCTTCTGAATTTGGCCAACGCCCAAAGACAGTTTGGTCATGTGGTGATAGAGGGCAACGTGCGCTCGCAAGCTTGGAATTTATCAGTATTGCAGACCGCGCAGCCATCCTTTCATGTCACTGAGCATCGCTGGTGTCGGTATGAGCAGCGCAATCAGCAACAGTTGCCTTGCGGAGCAGTTTTGAGGATCTGGAGCACTTTTGAGTTTGTGGCTGGCAATCAGTGCATGTGTCAACCTGCATTGGGACATGTGACTCTGAAGTCACTCAGGGTCAGCGAGAGAGCCGAGAGAGAGGCTCAAGTGCTACGCGGTGTGATCGATTTGATGTTGTCCCAGGGTTGGCATCTTCTGGCCGTGTGGCACCGTCAGGTGATCCGAGTAGGCAACCTGAGTCGAAAGTTGTTTCGATTATGGATGATGCAGCCATGGATTCTGAATTTCGCAGTTCAGCTTTGGTACAGTTTCCTCGGGTGCGATTTTGCACGCAGGCAGCAGCTGAGGATGCAAACTGTCAGAGTGCCTTTCCGACTGACAGCGCTGAGAGACAGAAACAGCGGAAGCGGAGTGGCATTGTGGCCAAGAAGCGCAAGCAAGTCATTGAGCCACATGATGACGATTGTGGAGACTGTCTTGACAGTTTGACGAGTCATTTCACAGCTGGTTGGACGGCGAGTTCTGGCCAATGTGCTGAGTCGGAGTTTGACCAAGCAGTGGAAGATGGTTTACATGCACGCATATCGATGTGCGCATGCAGTATGCCTGAGAGTTCGGCGGCAAATCTGCAGATGGTAGTGTGGCCCGCGACTGGAATTCGTTTCTTTCACTGGACAGGCGCCACGGACAGGTCGACGTTTGTGAACTGTTTGGTGGAGATGGCATTACAACGCAACTTTGCGCTCGATATTACGAGTTACGAAGCGGGTGCAATTTTGAGTTAAGACAAGGTTTTGATCTGTTGGACCCGCAGCATGAGCAGTATCTTTTCGAATATCTGAAAGCCTGCAAACCAATTGTGGTAGATATGGCTCCCCCTTGCAAGTCTTTTGGACCATGGGCGCGACTGAACCGGGTGATTCATCCTGAACTGTTTCAGAAGAGTCGTAAAGATGGTGAACGCCTAGGTCGTATTTGTGCTAACGTGGCCAGACTGCAATTGGAGCAGGGCAGACATTTTGTTTGCGAACAACCACAGGGCAGTGAGATGTTTGAGATGCAGTGCTGGCGGGGGCTACGTGATAGCATTCACGTCTGCAGATTTGACCAATGTCGCACTGGCTTGAGAGAAAGGGAAGGTCGGCGATTGCCACCAATGAAGCCGACTCAGATGTGGGCATCCTCGCCCCTCTTGACTCATGCTCTTGATGGGCTCAGATGTCGGCGCAATCATGAACATGGCAAGGTCAAATCAGCAGCAGAGCGATGGACAACAGATCTTTGCAAGCGATTAGCCGTTGGAGTTGCAGACACTGTGGATGAGTGGCGTGAGCTTTGTGGCTTGCATTATGCCACATACAATTGCCCTGGATGTCGTGGTCATGTGAGAAGGGAAGATCCTCGGCACACTCATCACTTGGAGCTGTTCTGGATGTGTGAAACATCGCCATCGTGATGATGCATCTCACACGCTGGACCCTAACTGTAGATGGTCAATTGCACGCAGTGTATCAGCTGGCGCAGGAAGGGCTCGTGCGGGACGCCATCCTCGTGATCCTTCTGTACCTGCAGCAGATGATCCAGCGAGCAGATTGAGGCTTGCAAATGCACCGCCGGTGGGCGTGCCTGCAGACAACGAAGGTCGTTCGGAGGCAGATCGTATTAGGGCAGACAAAGCAGCTCGGTCCGACGATTTTGAGAGACAAGTGATTGCGCAGGATCGTCGTGTTGAGCAAGCAGTTCAATCTGTCCGAGGTGATTCCTCGAATGCTGCAGCAAGTGCTGGGCCACGGCGGAGATTTCAAGATGCTGAAGTGCAGGCTGAAGCAGCAGTGAGAGCAGTCGAACGTGCCGATGCTGCACCAGAGGAGCGTGATGGTGTAGGCTGGAGCAGGTTTGATTTGGGTGCTGCCTTACAGCAACTTCGGTCGGTCAGACCTGGTATTGTGCGAAGAGCGTTGCGGAAACTTCACATACGCTGGTACCATTGCGGTGCTAAGCGCATGAAGATGTTGTTGGAAGCCGCAGGCGTTGACCCTTCTGTTCTGGCACTTGCCGATGACGTTGTGGCTACATGCGGAACATGTCGTCTGTGGACGCGCCCTGGAGTTCGCAGTGTCACTTCAACTCGTTTGAGCACTCAATTCAACGAATCTGTTCAAGTGGACTTGCTCTTCGTGAAGCATTGTACAATTTTGCACATGATTGACAGTTGTATTCGTTGGAGTGCTGCGCAAGTGATTCCCAGCAGAGAATTTGACGCCATCATGACTGGCATGGAGCTGATCTGGTTTCGCCAGTATGGATTTCCACAAGAGCTTGTGTCTGACCGTGAAGGTGCTCTTGACACTGATGCAGCAGCAGGTGAGTTGGAGAAACGACATGTCAAGCTGACACTTAGAGCCAGATATCAACATGCTGGCATCGTGGAGCGTCACAATGAACTTCTGCGACGACAGATTCATTACATTGATGCCCAAGCGACTGCAGATGGAGTGAGAACAGATTTTCCTGGAATTCTTGCAGAAGCATTGTTTGCCAAGAATGCGCTTTTCACTTGCGGAGGTTTCTCCCCTTACGAAGCTCTTTTTGGGCGAACTCCTGGTTTGCTCAACGTCATGTGAGAAGAGGCTGACGAAGGGAATGCCGATGATCACTTTCGCTTGAGACAGATCGCTGTGCAGTCAATGATACAAGCGACCGCAGAAGAGCGCGCGCGCAGGGCAAACACTCACAAATCGAGAAGAGCAGGAGAACTGTTGGACCTGCAGGTGGGCGATTTGGTCGAGTTTTATCGCAAAGCTTCATCCAAGGACGTTGTGTCTTGGCTTGGACCAGCAGTGGTGACCGACTTAGTATCCTTGAAGGACGGAGTGATCGGCATTCGCTGGCAGAGTCGGCTCTTAACTTGCCGAGTGCAGGATGTTAGAAGAGCCATGACGTATTTTCAACTTCACGATCATGTGCAACAGGAATCGCCGGTCCACGTTTTGCGCCAAGCTGCAGAAGATCACAATGGATTTGCAGTGCGTGTGGGTTGGTTTCAACGACAAAACGAGTGGATTTCCTTTGAAGCCAATGCGCGTCATGGGAAGACACTACTTGCTGGGCTTCATGTTGCCGCCTGTTGCTTAGGTTTGAATGGTGTGGTGAATTTCAGATTTGGTGCTGAGATTGAAGCATTGCCGCCGATCAATTCAGATGATACTTTAGTGCTCTGGTGGAAGCGCGGCGATATCTCTCAGTGGGAAACTTCGTTTCTGATTGGGAACCACCATATCAACCTGGGACGACTCACCGGATGTCACTGCAGTGAGGTGGCTTTGGTTCAGTTTGTGATGACTGACACTGCAGGTGTGCAATCAGTGCGGAGATGTTTTCCTTTTGTGCAGAATCTTGGTGGGATTTATGATCCATATGCGCCCAAGGTTCAGGCAGTGGAATTTGATGATGATGAGACAAGACCGACTATATCCTCGCAGACGCAATTTAATCCTGATAATCAGAGGCGAACGCGAGGTCCCAAAATGATTACGAACTCCGATACTCGTGCTACAGTGGTGAATCCCGTGGCGACAAGTGATGTTTCAGATGCAGAACATGGGGACGGACAAGATGCTACAGCAGCAGCTAGCATAGCTTTGGTTGTGGAGTCAATGACTGACTGGATACAGTACAGCGTGCAGGAATGCAACATGGCGAGTTGCTCGGAATCGCGCTGGCAGGAACCGGCTTGCAATTTGGATTGCATTGTTCTTGAGCGGATGGATCTTCATCAGGAGCTACTTGAACCTGCAGAATTGGTTGTTGACTTTCGACGAAGTCAATATTTGACGAGCAAGCAGCGACCGCTTGAACCAGACGAAGAGCTGGTGATGATGTATGAAGCCGGCTCGGAAGTCAAGGCGGTAATACAACGGGTCAACAATGTGCTCACGCATGCAGAAGCATTGGAGAACGCGGAGAAGTGCAGATCTGCGATGATTCTGGAACTGCAGCGCTGGAACAAGCACAAGGCCTGGGTTCGCTCACCGCGAAAGCTTGCGCGAAATCTTTTGCAGAGTCGCTGGGTTCTCAAGTGGAAGGAGATTAACAAGCAGCGACAAGTGAAAGGCCGTTTGGTGGTACAAGGCTTTCGTGATCGTCAAGAAGTTAGCAATTTTGCAGGAACCACGTCTCGCTGGGGACAGCGTGCGGTGCTGATCATAGCAACGCAATACAACTGGCCTTTGGTGAGTGCAAATGTGAGCGAAGCCTTCTTGCGTGGTCTTAGCTTTGAAGAACTGGCAAGTGAGGACGGTTCCAAACCTTTGCGTGAAGTGCAACTTCTTTTGCCTCCTGGAGCAGCAGAGCTGTTCTGCTCTTTGGATGGTATGAGTGACTTTGACGAAAGGTCGGAGTGCCTTCGCATGCTGAAACCAGGTTTCGGGTTGAAAGATGCCCCACGGTTGTGGAATCTTGCTTTACAACGCGTGCTTCGTTTGATAGGTCTTGGAAGCACAAAGGCAGACCGCCAATTGTTTGTGAAGCATGACAGCAACAAGCAGCTAGTCCTTGTGTTGTCTGTGCACGTGGACGATATCAAGATGGCTGGTGTTGAAGCAGAAATTGCAGCTACCATAAAGGTGCTTGAAGAGCATTTTGACGCCTTGAAGCTCGAGCGGAACAACTTCGAGCATTTGGGCCTTCGTCACGAACTGCATCCAGACGGATCTCGGACTGTGAGTCAAATACATTGTGTTGCTGAATTGCGGTTGATCCCTGAAGGAGACTTACGTCTCAAGCTGGAAACACGAGTTTCAGATGAGGTGCAACGCTTGTACATGTTGCTTCTCGGAGGCATAGCTTGGACAGTGCAGACGAGGTGTGACATTGCAGTCTTTGTTTCGGCGTTGCAGAGGAAGCTGAAAGCTCCGATTGGGCGTGATGTTGTAAACCTGAATACGCTTGTGCAGTACGTGAAGGACAACCCCTTGAAACTGCGATACACATGTGTGGCAGCCCCTTGGCGGTTGATAGCAATTTCAGACAGCAGCTATCGTGGTGATGACAACGATTGTCTTGCAATGAGGAGTGGGCTCATTTGTTTGGCAAGCAAGAACGGGATTGAGAAGGGCTTCAATACTCTTCAGATGCTGGAATTTGTCAGCAAGAAGCAATCGAGAGTGTGCAGAAGTACATACGCTGCCGAATTGTACTCATGCCTTGACCTCACAGGTCTCGCTGCGACGATCAATCTTGCATTTACTGAGATTCTTGAAGGAATTAGCAGTGCTGCAGTGTTGGCTGAACGACAGGACTCTGGGAAGATGAGTTTACGTTTAGACTGTGTGATTGACGCACGGGCAGTTCTTGACAGCGTCACCGCTGACGAGATTCGCACCCCCAATGACAAGATCATGTTGATCCACGCGCTTCGTCTGCGTGAACTGCTTGACAGCAAGCAGCTTGATCAGCTCATTTGGTGCGATACGCGAGACATGTTGGCTGATGGGTTGAACAAGGGCAGTGTTTCGAGAGTTGAATTGCAGCGACTTTGCAGTGAAGGTGTCTGGGAGATTTGTCATGACTTGATTTGCCGCAGAACTCGAGGAGTCGCAGCTTTGACGAAGTCAGGTGATCGTGACTAGCACTTGAGTAGGCAACCTGAGTCGAAAGGTACCTGGCCCTCTTTGTCCCTGCATCATGCATGGTGATTTAACATTCAGTAGTTTGCAGCATGGCAACATTTCCATCCGTTGCCGCAGTCTGCAGATCAGATGCCTCTAGGCAGAACGTGTTTCACTGATTCCCTTTGCAGTGCATGGTGCGTGTCTTTGCAGGACTGAATTCGAGACGGAAGCTGCACAGCGAAGCAACAGCAAAAGGTGCGGCTCTGGATCGCCCCGTCATCTTGGGGATGCATGGCACGGCAAGGGTTTCCGAGGCTGAGTGTCGATTCAACTCACCCCTGGTCCTGACATCTTCATTTTTTCCCGAGTAGGCAATGAAGCTTTCTTTCGTTCCCAATGTCTGCCACCCTGCAGGTGCTCAGGGCAGGGTGCTCCCCATGGGAAAGAAAACAGCGCCCTGTCAAAAGTAGCTTCATCTTCAATCAAATCTGGGCATGCCACACACCGCTCTTGCTGACAAGTCGCCAGTTCAGCGGCCTCCTTAGCATGAAACTCTCTTGCCATGGGAAACAAACCGTTTGTTCACCGGCGCGAAACGAGGCACGGCATCGCGTTTAACTAGTTCGCGTCTTTGGCATCCGGAAAGCTCTATCCGAAAGTTCCTACCGGCACTTCTCTCACAGCATAGGCGTGGCCTGCAAGAGCTGCAACCTCGGATCCGGCAAGGTATCGAAAGTTTGTGCTCGAAACTTACTTTGGAATCCTAAGAATCAAAAGCCTATCAACACAATTCCCCTCGGTTGCAAACAAGCCGCGAGCAGAGCCTTGATAAACATGTGCCTATGCGTCGAGGCAATGCATGCACGATCATGCCAGACCACCAGATCGCGGTTGCGAAATCCAGATCAATTTGAGAAGACCGCAAAAAGGATAAATTAGATGCACTGCTTCAATCTGTGTGCAATGGACAAAACATGAACCCCTGTCAGGTTCCATGTCAGAGGATGAGGGGATCGGCCAACATTGAGCCCATCCATCTGGAAAATCGGGCCATCTGAAGTCTAAATGTAAAATGCGGACCAGCTTGAAGCACAATCTGAGCTGAGATGCATTTGCCAGAGGGATCTAATGAAGAATACCCAGAGCAGCAAGTGCACCAGCTGAAGCCTCGGTTCCGGTGCCTCAGTGCCTCTGGCGCCACTGGTGCCTTTGGCGAATCTCAAGTCAGCCAAGACACCCCAGCAGCTGGGCTGGGGCCCGCTGAACTGGTAGCAGAATCAGAGCCGTCTGCAGGGCCACAAGCCTGACAATGGACAGATCAAAAAGATCTGATAAGTTCTTGTCATGTTCGTAAATGTACATGTGCGTGCATGTGTGTCGCATGTATCTGGGTGTCAGCATGTGTGTCCGCGTGTGACATGCGCTGTCGGCTGTGCCAGTCTCCGTGGAATGGCCACCAGCATGCAACGGTGCAGGCCATACGAAGCAGCTTTCAGATGCTTTCACTGAGTCGCCACATCAGCAGCCCGAAGTGGGACAGCGAGTGCAGAACCGTCAGCAAGAAAACCACGGTCGTGTAAAACCCCAGGAGCTGCGGCACATTGTGCCTCGATTGCGCGAGGCGAGCTCTCAATTGGACTGCAAAAGCTCAGGCAAGAAATATCCTCCGAACACGTGCTAACTCCCTGCATCTGAACGATGTGATTGGACGATTGGACGACTCGACATCATGAAGGCTGCAATGCCTCTGCTTGCCCAATAACGAAACGGCCTGCAGGGCAGTTTGTTCTTCTTTCCCCCTACTTTTAGCACTTGTTTTTTGGCTTGCATACTTATTGACCTCAAAGTATGCCGACTTTCAGCACCTTGACTCTTGCAGCATGAACAAAAAACAGTGGTTGCTTACTCGAACTAGATGTCCAGCGACAAATGCAAGACAACTGACGTGATGGAACACGAGCATGGCAGCGTCAACCACTGCAAGACTTGCTCCAGAGTTTGAACGTTTCGATAGATCAATGCAGGAATATGTCGCGACTCGTGAAGGCGGGCGGCTTGAGCCGCTCCAGCGCATCAGAGTGGCCTCGCAAGGAGCGACGCTTGGGGCCGCCGTCCATGTCCAGCGCGAGGAAGCGCGCCCAGGCGAAGGGCAGCCGGAAGCCTCGCAAAACACATGGAACGCGCAGAAGGCCGAAACTCCTCAAATGCGAAAGCAAAGAAAGCGAAGAAAGCGAAGAAAGCGGAGAAAGTGGAGAAAGCGAAGGATGGAGACACGCGCCTAGGGGCGACCGCAGTAGCCGCTCCAGCTGTGCCAGGCGCTTGCACGCCTGTTCCTCGTCCACCGCCCAGGCGCTGGGCTGCAGCATGTCCTCCAGCGCCGTGCCAAGTTCCTCGACAAAATTGGCACCGGCCAAAAACATCCTTGCGATCCTTGCACCTAGGACCGGCACCCATCGCATCTGAACAGGCAGGGGCTCGACAGGCTCCATGTCGGGCAAATCAGGCACATCTTCCTGCGCATGTCGTGCTCGCGGTTGCTCAGTGACCCGCCAGAGCACTCCTCCGCTTTCTTCTTCTTTGCTTTGCTATCTTTGGGCCTCTTCTTTGGCCCCGCTAACCGCGCCACAGGCACAGGCGCCGCTGCCTTGCTCCGATCCAGCAAAGCAAGCCAGCCCGCGACAGCTCGCGCCTCCGAAGCTCGAAGCCCTGATCCTGTGGACAGAGCGCCTGAGAAGATGAAGTGAGTGGGGAAGTGATGCCAGGAAGAGACAGGGAACTTTCGCAACGAGGCGATGTCAAAGCTAACGCGCCCTTGCCTTCTGCCGTCTTCCCCGCCGGCCCTTTCGCAGCCTCCTGCAAACACACATTCAAAGCCGGCGTCCCTCCCCTCTCTTTCTTTTTCTCTCTCTCTCTCTCTCTTTCTCTCTCTCTCTCTCTCTCTCTCTCTCTCTCTCTCTCTCCATCCCTCCCTCTCTCTCCCTCCCGGTCTCTATTGCTCTTCCGCGCTCGCTCACTCACTCACTCAATCACGCTCGCTTGCCGGAACCACCCGTGTAGTAGCGCACCTTTTCATCGTTGGCTTGAAGCCTGTGGCCTGTTGTAGTACACTTGGCCTTTGGGCGTTGAGTAACGCAGTTGTTTTCTGCGCGAATGACGCGAGGAAACTTGCACGCAAAAAGCCGCATTCTTGCTGGTATGTGGGTTGGAGAAGCAGGTCTTACGCCTTCCACTATGCTACACAAGACCTCTGGCGCTCCTCACACGACGTTGATACGCTCAACTGACTCGGCAGCTACGTGTGGTTCGCAGCATTGGCCTGCACACTTGGAACAAACGGAGTACTTGACTCTTCTGCTGCGTCTCAGTTGTCGTGGGAACAAAGATTTGTAGAAGAACTGCCCGCAAAACGTTCTAGCTTGAGCCGCCCGATCTGAAAAAACCCGCTTGCGCTTAAGAGCTTGGGCGCCCAACGAAGAAGCGCTTAGCCCTCCTACATCGAGCGCCCCTTCGATCATGGGCGTAGTTGGCGCCCTGCTCTGCGTCGTCATCTCACCAGTCCCCCGCGCCAGGCGTCTTCTCTCGCTCATGCTGCTGGAGCTGCGTAGCCAGGCAGTCCTGCGCACGTGCAGCACTTGTAGCGCACGTGTTTGTTGCCTCTACGTCGCAACTTGTTGTTGAGATGCGACTTGCCTTTCCGCCCTGCGCTTGCGCTTCCCGTCACGGGGAAGTCGCCAGAAACCCGCAAACCCAACACCGGCGGAGCCCCTCCCCGCGCGGAACTTTGCTCGCAGCGCTCCACCCCTTGTTTCAGCGCGCGCGGGCGTTGGCCTGCCAGTTGGAAACGCACGCAGAAGCTAGACGCGACATGGGGCCACATGAGGCAGACCCCGCTTGGCAAGCTCAAGAGGCGCACTGACACGCGCAGCCACCAGCAGTGTGTGGGTAGATGCGTTTGTTGGCGCATGTTTCAAACTGCACTTCGGGCAAGCTTGAGTTTTGAAGATCGCCTGTTGCAAGATTTCATGTTTGTTTCGACGCGCGCCTGCTGGTGTCAAAACTCTTGAGTTCCCGCACGCTACAAATCAAGCTGGCCTTCCAGCGAAACGCACAACAGCATTCAGGGCCGCTGGCCCTTCTGTGGTTTTCGGCTACCGGAGGCGCACTTGCGTTCGTCTCGGACTAGGTTGAAAGGTCGCCCTGCAGCACCCGCGCGCCACGCCGCGCAGCGTCGTAAGCGGTCATGGTTCCAGCAGGTGTTGTTGAAGCCGCGCTGAGCTAAACGATGGGCGCTCTGGTTGCGCAGCCGCGCGTTTTGCAGCCTTTCTCGCCCCGCTGGAGCTGCAGACCTCTGGCAAACGTTGATGAGGCTGTAGCGCAGACCCCACGAGAGGTCGACCAACGTAGCGACGTCGGCCAGTAGCGTCGCGCCAGCCCGTGGCGTTCTAAGCTGGAATAAAAACGAATTGCCGGCCGTAGCGTGCATAGTAGCCTGGTTAAACTTGCGGCGGCGGCAGTTTACCTTTGAGCAGTCGTTGGGCCTCATTCCTTTTGTCCCGTTTGTGGATCCTATGGCTCCTTGTTTGGCTCTTGCTGGCGTGGCCCTCTGTTCTGTGGTGATCGTGCAAGTATGTGTGCTGAGTGCGTCCCTTGCCCTGCTATGTAGTGGTGGTTGGGACAAGCGCACACGCTGCCCGTGGTCTTTCGCGGAGATAGCTCCACTACTGTGATTTTGTTCAGTGTACTGCGCCTGTGTAGCATCGCACCTTTTAGTCAATGGCTTGATGCTCAAGGCCTGTAGTATTACAACTACGCACGAGCCATGGATGCGATTGCAGTAGTTGACATGTAGCCTTTCTCTTTCCTCTCTCTCTCTCTCTCTCTCTCTTGCTCTCTCTCTCTTCTCTCACTCACTCACTCACGCACTCTTCACGCACTCACGCACTCACTCACTCACTCACTCACTCACTCACTCACTCACTCACTCACTCACTCACTCACTCACTCACTCACTCACTCACTCACTCACTCACTCACTCACTCACTCACTCACTCACTCACTCACTCACTCACTCACTCACTCACTCACTCACTCACTCACTCACTCACTCACTCACTCACTCACTCACTCACTCACTCACTCACTCACTCACTCACTCACTTTCTTATTCACTCACTCACTCACTCACTCACTTTCTTATTCATTCACTCACTCACTCACTCACTCACTCACTCACTCACTCACTCACTCACTCACTCACTCTCTCACTCTCTCGCTCAAAAAACGCATTAAACTCTCAGCTGCAAATGCCTTGGGAACCGGCGGAGGCGGCGGTCGCGCCATCTCCTGGCGGAAGGCTGCCGACGCAAATCATCAACTCGACACGCAGCAAACATGTCTAGCATCAACCAAAAGCACTCTGGCACTCCTCCCAGAAGACATCATCCTGTCCATCATCGATCGGCTCAGGGTCAGCCTGCAAGACGCAGCATTAGACGCAGCTGGGATCTTTCCGTCGGCATTACTTTGCAACTTTGGAGTCCAGTCTGCGAGTGCTCTTTCAACATGTGGCACAAAGAGAAGGCAGAGCAGCAATGAATGCACCTCTTCCCCTGGTTTTGAGGCCATTCTTTGTCCAGAATGCTAAATCAGCGAGTGAGAAGCAAACTGAGGCCAGACATGCCAGACTCACATTGCATTGATTAGTCATACATGTGCTGCCGTGCGCTACACGTAACTGCGCTGTGGACAGGAGGCGAATCAGGTGGTTCTCGGCTGTTCTCTGAATTGATCACTGCGCAAGCCTTGTCAACTGCGTGCGAATGGGTCTTTGTACGCCTTTGCTTCTCCCACGAAGTGCTTCTGAAGCGACTGCATGCCACAGACTTCATGGAGTTATGAAATCCGGATTCAAGTCGTGGTCGGATCGGTGGCGAACCGTGCAATGTGAGTCGGCTGAAAGGAAGTGCAAGGATGTGCAAAGGGTGACGGCCAACGCATAGAGCCTCCGCAGTGCCAAGCGCCTCTTCACGAACCTGAGTCAGGCAAGGATCCTCTGGGGCGCATGTGGCGATCTGAGTCTGGCCTTGGCTGCGGCTTCAGCGCGCAAGCGCTGCGCCAGGGTCATGTTGGAAGCCCATGAGCTCGGCTTCGCTCCTGGCCGGACGAGAATTGTGCGGGAAACCCGAAAAACAGTGCAACTGGCTGCAAGTTAGTTTGTTTCTGCTCAAAGACATTTCTGGTGACACGGGCGATTGCTGCTTTGCGCTCCAAGTGCACGCTCGAAGCCGTGCGGCTCCAAGCGCATCGCAGGCTCCGGCCTCGCTGCTTCGCGCTGGGCCGCGCGCCCGGCTTCGCTCTCGCGTCCAGCGGAAGCTGACCCGGGCTCGGGCCCGACCTTTGGCCCGCAGGGCCCGGCCTCGGGCCCGACCTCGGGCCCGAGCTCGGCTCCGGCCCGCGGCGCCTCCGGAGGGCCTCCTCCAACTGCGGCGAGGCACAAAGCTTCTGGCAGTCCTGACGAGCACGAGAACGAGACACCGCAGAAAGTCACAGCATGGCCTCGTAGCGGCGCTTGAAGGCTTGCAGCTCGGAGTTGGACCGGAAGCTGTGCCTTCCTTGCTGCCATTTCTCCTTGGCAATCTGCAGCTTGTGAGGTCCCACTCTGTGAGGCTTGAAAGCCAAGCAGCGTAGATGGGCTTTAGCTCCTTCAACTCCGCATCAGCCTGGCAAACAGTGCGCTTGTTCGGAAGTGCGCTTGGTCATTCGGTTGCGTGCAAAACCGATTCAAGCCATTCACGCCGTTGCCTGCTTCATCTGGGCCTCAATATCTTGGACGGCCTTGGTCTCCGGAGCTGTGGTCAGCTTTGCCCGCAGCTGCTGCAAGCGCTCCAACCCAGACGCAGCGCGCTCGTCTTTGCGAGCCTCCAAAGCCACAAAAAAAAACGGAAACGACCATGGCGTTGATGGAATCTGATGGCATTGCTGGCATTGATGGCAGTGCAGCAGTCAACGCGGCATGCCAAGTGCGGAAGCCAAGCCTGGCTCTGCAGCTTGGAGATCTGTTCCTGGCACACCACTCGCAGCCCAAAAGCCTCTGCCCGCAGGCCAGAATGGCCCGAACGACCATGAGCGCCAGGAAATATTCGCGTTCCCAACCGACTTTCGGCAAGATTTCATAGAAAGGATGGGAAATCTAATGATACCTCTATCGGCCTGCAGGAACTCTTCCGCCAACGGCCGCTCGCGGCGCGTCAGCGGCTCCTAAAGCTCAAATCTCGGCCCGACTCCCTCGCCATCCCTGGCTGGCTTCTCGGCTTTCCGAACTGCCAATTTTCTTTTCCGCATTCTGTTTTGGTCTTCCGACTTGAAACTCCTTTCCCTTCTTTCTTTACCCTTCTTTTCCATTTCATTTTCTTTTGCTTCTTTCTTTTCACTTCTTCGCCTCCAGCAAGGCGCCCAGCTGGCGCCGCAGCCGCGCCTGGGCCGCCAGCAGCAGCTCCCGCGCCTCCGCGGCGGCCAGGTCCTCAATGCAACGAGGAAACTTAAGGAATTTGAAAACGACCAGAAACCATTTGGATACCAATTAAGGAAACAAGCAAGTACATCAATTTAGATACCATTTATGTCACATCAATTTAAGGAAAGGAAACAAGTAAACATGATCTCTCGACAGGTCTTGAAATTTCTGAAAGACCGCGTCGGGCTCCTGTGCGCGTGGCGCCTTGGACACAGCTGCATGGTCGGCCCTCTCGAGCAGCTGATTCACCTCTGACAGCCAGTGCCAGAGCCCATAAAAGGACCAGCTTTCCTTAGGGACGCAAGGAATCGACGTCACCGGTAAACATAGTCAACCAAACAATTTGCGAATGCCTCTTAGCAATGCCACTCGTGTAGCTTATGTCGTCGAGGTTCAATGTCCTCGATTTGTTCCACCACCTCTTCCATGGCAACGAGCTAGATTGCTTTGCCTGATTGCATGAGCTGATCTGTCTGAGCAATGAAGGTTTGCGGCCATTGTCTATTTTCCGGACATTTCGGGAGAGGCGCTCCGTGCCCATTGATCCCGCTCTAGTGGTGTCATTGCTGCAGCTTGGCTCATGCTTTGTGAGCTGAGCCAAACAGAAGCAAGATGGAGTCAAGCAAGAGCAATGTTCCAAGCACGGCGAAGGTGTGCGCTAGACTCACAAATGCAGGACAAAAGCATCTGCAAGTCTTGCTCTGAACCGCCTTTGCCAAGCATCTGATCGCCACTTGGGCAGGGAAGGTTCAAGCCCAACTGCGAGATAACGCTGCACTTAGCAGCCTGGTGATACCTCGCATGTCGCATACGTTGAACATGCATGAGCGGAACAATTTGACAGAAGCTGTTTCCCTAGCAAAACCAACACATTACAACGGGCAGCCGCACCATCGCAATTTGCGGGGACTGTCTCTGACAAATTGACGCCACGGCGCTCCACCACGATCACGTCCCGGTGCTGGGAGCCTTCCGGTGTGCCCTGGGCGCTTCACGGACGCGAAGTCAGAAGGACCAGATTCAGACAATCCTTGTCAAAACACTGAAAGGCAGAGCGGAAATTGGGCCAAGACATGCGGGCCGGCCTTGTGGATGCTGTTGGTGTCAAACAAATAGCCAGTGCCCTTCTTGCCAGCCAAAAGCAGCGTGCTGAACTCCTTCTGAACATATGCATCCTCGTAGCCTCAACACGCGAATTCTTGAGACAAGCACCGGACGCTTCACGTTGGCTGAGTTGGCAATAGCAGCGATGAGGGTCAACCCTTCTGGCGAGTCTGATGCTGCAGGGTCACGAGATTGTTCAAACTCCTCGCAAGCACTCTCTCATGTATGTGGTTTCTGAGCAGTGCTGTGCCATTGATCACAGGAGAATTGACTCCTCGTGCCAGTAGTAGGATAAGCGATGCGAGCCAAGTGCAACCTGGGTCGGATGGCCCTCTGCAGGATCCACGTCGTTGAGGCGAATGAACCTAAACACATCGCAAGACATGCCCAAAAGAACGCCGGGCAAGGACGATCGTCCGAGGATGTCTAAATGCAAGCCTGAAAAACACCTTGCTGCCATGCTGCAGTTTCAGTCGTCGACCAGTGCGATCATGATGCCAATGTGCCGCCACAAACTCCTCTCGGAGTTGAAAATCTGTGTGTGGATTCAGAATGGCCATAACCTGTAGTGATGTCCCCGGCCATGTTGCAGAAAGAGTTGAGGCATGTATCAGCTTCATCATTTTTTTTTATCTGCCAGTCCACACTTCTCCTTCGTCGTGAGCTTTGAGGGCAAGTGCACCACCTGCAAAGACACAGCAACTCGGTCCCCATTTGCCGAACCGTAGCACCGTAGAACTGACACACGCATCGACGCAGGCCCCTCGCGTGTCCTTGTAACCGTGCAGCATCGCATGGCCCCCAAGGTACGTGGCCACGGCGGCCGCAAGCGTTGTGTTCTGCCGGAGCCTTAGAAATGCCGGAGTGTCGTGTTCTACTCCAAATACCCGCTTTGTTCAGGAGGTATTTACCATGCAAAACCAGGTTCTCCCAAAAACACCCAAAAAAACAGCGGGTATGAGTGGGCAAGCCTTGTTTAATACAAAAAAATCGGATGGGATCGGATGAGATCTTGGGCGCGGGGCCACTGCTCCAACTTCGGCAGCTGCGGTCGCGCCGCTGCCAGCCCTTCGGCCTTCCCCAGTGCCGAAAGGGCCTCCTCCTGGGCCAAAGCAAAGACACCACGAACACAACGAGGAAAAAGCGACCAAGAGAACAACGAAGGGGGAAGCGCAGGGAAGTGTAGAAAGGTCTAAAGGCAAAGAACTCCGACTCCGGACATGTCCTGCAGGCCCAGGGGGAGCTGGAGTTGGCCGAGCTCCAGGGCGCCCTGCGCCTCCAGCGAAGTGAAGATCTGCCTGGCGCCTCGAGGCATTCGAACCTCTCAGAGCCGAGACGCGCACGACGCGCACGACGTGCACGGCGTTAGCCTCGCCTGGGCTCAGGTCCGATCTGCCCCTCTTGCGCCCACTCAGGCCGATGACTTCCTGAGACGCTTGGGCGAACCCGTGAGCGTTGTGCGCATTGCTTAGCTGTTGCCCAAGCCAAAAGGCAGCCTCCCATTTTACTCACGGAAACCTTTGATATTCACTTGATGCCCTCTCGGACGTAGGCGCGGCGTCCAGGTCGAAGAGCAAGCGCCCCAAGGGCGACAGCACACCACGCACCTTGCCCGTCGCACCGGAGCAACGTCCATGAGCCCCAAAAAGCACTCCGTAAGTCGAGTCACTCTCGCCTGAGACTGCGAGCTCGAGTTGAGCTCAACGCCAACGGCGCGCCAGTTTGCCTCAAAATGGCATGAGGAAGCTCATGCAATCAGATGTCAGGGAACCATCCTAAGGCTCATGTTGTCCAGTTCAACTAAAGAATGCAGTGCCAATGTGAATCTGATACATCAACGCCGTTCACTTCTAAGCTCGGCCTGGGGCACCACGCATTCATTTCGGTGGCATGGACAGACTTGCGCCGTGCACTGGCTGCTTCCAAGTGGGCCTCCCGCTTGACGGGTTGGGTGCTGCAAACTTAGAGAAATGCAAAGAACAATTGGAGGGTGGCGTCATGAGTTTCGGTCAACTCAAGAAGCCATGTGCCGCCTTCATCGCATCCTTGAACACGAAGGCATTCAGCGACTCATGCAAGAACGGGTTCGGCGCATCATTTGCTCCTGGCATGGACAGACCACTCTGCCAAGTTTCTCTGGCACTTACTCTCAGAGTGTAGTGTTGTGAGCCTTTCATGCCACGGCGACCCCGTCCTTCGCATTCGCCTTCCTCTTGAATGCGGCAGTTGAAAGGAGGCAAAGTTGAGGTGGAAGCGACGGGCGCAGCCTGGCAGTCGGCTTGACCAAACAAGCTCCCAAAAGCAGCACACGCACAAGGCTGTTCCAGGGTCGTGCAACATCGACCCCAAGACGCCAGGCACACTTCCAGGTTCTGAGGTGATGTCATGTGTCCTTTGAAATTGGGGGCGCCATGGCTCACACGCCTCGCAGGCCAAGCGCAACATCGGCTGTCCCAGCAAGTCCCGCAGGTCGCCGACCACATGCAAAGGTGGCTGCTCCTCCTGCAGGAAATTGGTGCAGCGCACCCCGCCGGCGCCGGTACAGACCTGAAGCGAGCAAGAATCGATGACACACCATGCGGATGCGCTTTCACTCAAACCAAATCCAACCCGGTTTGGCCATTGCCTTTGCGTCAGTGAGGTGGCAGTCCAGCAGACTGCTCTCGGTACCTGCAAGGAGAACTCGGACTTGGAGCCTTGAAACTTCCAGTGCCTTGGCATCGCTGCGCCAGGCGAAAAAACCGATCTCCGGGCCCGTTGTCCATGCGCATGGTCGCTTGGCCTCATGGACTTGGCTCCGATTCTCTCGCTCTCTCGCTCTCTCTCTCTTGCTCTAGACGCCTCTCCGCAATCCCAGCTGACGGCAAACCACCTCAAACTCAACGAACACAGAGCAGCCGAGAACGACGAAACAGCCGGCAGCCTAGCAGCCTATGGTTCTTTATTCCTTTTTGCGTGCTTCAGGCCCTCCATGCAAGAAGCACGCCTCCGCGGCCGCGGTGTCCCACTCGTCGTTCAAGCAGATCCACCCCCACTGGCCCCGATGAACCTCCGATCCAAGAGACAATGCGGCTAAGTAAGGGTCTGCCTGGCTAGTTGGGTTTTTTGTCTGGCTATTTGTGTTTTTTCTGTGGGGTGAAAAAGGACAATCTTAAGCAAAGGAAAAATGCATCAAAGTAAACACAGCCTATGTGTTTTGTTTTTGACCTTTGATTTCATGCATGGAACACATGGTATTTATGAATTATAGCGTTTGTTTTGCTGCACTCAACCGTTTTTGGATACAAACATTTATGTTTTATTTTTTTAGGTATAAATGTGTAATGCATGCATCATCTGTATAGGAACCAATTTTGTACATATTACAAACTAACTTAAAAATTGAATAGTTGGTGCATGGCGGCTACATTACACAAAAACTGATATACTGTGGAAGTGTTTAAGTTGACCATTGCAAGACATATCAGCACATGCCTTGTCCTGGGCAAAGCTCATCACAAACCCACCGAAGATGGGTTTGGGGGTGACCACGGCGGCTGCTTCAAGGGAATTCATGATCACTTTTGGGGGCTGGCTTGGCACCATGTCTGTCAGAAGGGTCGAGGACGGCAACTGCTGGCCAGGGCCTCGGGCCTGCTGCTGAGGGGGTCAAACTAGGGCACCGAAAGGTGCTTAGCACCGAAAGGTGCAATAATAAAATGCACTGAAGGTGCAATAATAAAATGCACCGAAAGGTGCTTAACGCCGGCTAATAAGAAGCACCGAGAGGCGCAGGGCCCCGGTCCTTTGTTCCTTACGCACCGAAAGGTGCCTTATTGTTTCTTTCGGGGCACGGTGCACTTCTTCGATGATGGCAGGTTGTAACCTAGAGGGCGTGCAATTGACAGGTGTCTTGCCTCAAACAGGTTTTCAAATTATATGAAATCAGCATGGTGCGGCTACAACGCAAGGGAGACGATGGCTGTCGGCGAAAAGGGCATTGCTTAGAGTATTGTTCTTGAAACTTTATTGGTGGACATCCAAATTCCAACTCCTGGTCATCCAGGAGTTGGTGTCATCAACCAGGATTCCTGGTCATCCAGGAGTTGGTGTCATCAACCAGGATTTGGTATCACCAACTTTGTTAGTCAGGACGTTGGGACTTTTTCTTGGATTGGTCTCATGCTGGACAGCCAGGACGCCAACACTTGGTTAGCCATATCATGAACTGTTGTAGCGGGGGTGCTTGGTGTTGACATGGGGGGAATTTGGTTATTGGGTTGACTCATTCTGGATAGCCAGGATTTTAAGTCCTGGTCATGGATGGCAGTTGCAAGCACGTTGCAATAGTGTTGGAATAACTCTCGGCTGTTGGTCTCGACTCCAGCAGTCGCAAACAACATTGACTGAGACACAGATTCTGTGGTGGCAGGTGAACTCGACTCGAGCATTGGTCAAACCACTGACTGCCTACTGTCCCAACCTCAACCCCTACCGTTACCCCCCCCTCCTTAAACCTACACCACCTCCGCCCGCACAGAAGTTAATGTTCGAATTCACTTTGACCTATGCCGCAAGTGTCAAGTGCGCTAGCGAACGTGGCCTGGTTCATCAGAGCCTGCGCAAGCCAGGGGGAAAGAAAACGAGGATGTCAGGTGGCTTGAAGCTGGTGACAAACCAGCGGTCGGAGCTCAAGCTAAGGAGCTGACAGTGCTCGGGAAGACCCATGCCTGGGCCAACCACCAAGCTTTAAGCTTCGTGACAGAATCAGAACATCGGCGCATACCTTTTGAGTGCTTCACAGCCTCCTCACCTCACAGCCAGGCAAAGTTTTGCGCATGCGCTTGTCCATGATACTAGCCATAAGACATCCAAGAAACACATAACGAACATTTCTTCTGCAGTGAAAAGGCGGCTCAAGGTGAACACTGTACAGAAGCCGGGTCAGAGTCACTGGCAGGGTCATCACCTGCCATTGCATGCTGTGCGACCGGGGTCTTGTTCTCATCGTCACTCAGACCGCCGCTCTGCATCTACTCCCAGACGACGATCCCTTCTGCCTGGCAAAGAGCATGAAACGGTTGCACTTACCCAGCGCCGGCCCAGCCGGGCCTTGCAGTCAGACACTCGCCTCTGGACTCTTTCAGTTTTTGGCTTGCTGCTGGATGACACCTGCGCAGCTGACGGAGACACCCGAGAAGTGGCACATGTCAGCGTTCGCATGCTTGGGCCCTGGGGCCCTGGCCCTTGGACCAGTGCCAGCTCAAGCTGCTGCAGCGCCTGCAGAGTCAGGGCTCTCATAATGACAGCAATGTGACGGCGGTCACCGCTCACTTCCCTGGGCTCTGGCAAAAAATATCTTAAGGACCAAAAAGAATCTACTTAAAAAAATCAGGCCGGGTGTCCAGGCTCCGTGCAAGGGCGACCAGGCGACTTGCTTGGCCTTCAAGGTGCGTCGCCTGAAGCATGGTTATTGTAGGGCACCTGTCGACAATGACATGGCCAATGGCAGCACTGCCAGCATGCAATCTGGAACCACACACTTCATACTACCTCCAAGGCGCCAGGACGAGCACGAGGTGCCAGCGGAAAAGGAAGGCAGGGTGGCGGCACGCCATGGCTCTTAAATGCACTTCGAGGCCTGCTGTGGACAGTGGCTTGTTACGCCTGTGGAGCTAAATACAAGTAGTGCTGTAGTGGAGCTAAGGCTGTTCATGTGTTCATGGAGCTATATTGCTCACCTGTGTCTGAGCCTGCTCGGACGCCTCACACAAGTGCCAAGTGGTCTCATGGCAACCATTTCCTCGACACGAAGGCTGGGGCTAGCGCTCCTTGCTGATGATGGTGATGGTGAACATGCAGCCAAAGAAGACTCCTGCAAGAGAATTTCAGGAACACACAATGCAAGTGCATTACTCAATGACAGAGGCTAGCTCTTCATTCAGAACACTCTCAGGTGCACCACACGCAGTTTGGAAGAGCTTTTCAGCTCAAGGCCAAGACTATCAGGAGAAGTTGACAACTTGCCACAAACTTCAGGGGCAAGTCAAAACCCTTTGCCAAGCAAAGCTGGGCAGGCGCCAAACGATCCTGCCATGTCAAAGATCGATGTGTGCAGGCATCAAGCGGAGCGAAGTCTCGCACCTTGACAAGTGGATTAAATTAATCATCAGGTGCACATATTTGATTATTGGCCCTGAGCCTCAGGTGCAGCAACCACAATCAATTTGGAGAGCCAACAATTGTCCTGAAGCCCTTTTCAGCACAAGGCCAAGACAACATCAAAGCAAGTTGGAAGTGCGACTTGCAGTAAACTCAAGCCTGCCTTGGACAAGTCCGACCCCATTGGCCACTGCCACCTCATTCAGCCACTGCTAAGTTGAGTTAACAGCCAACGCTCGGCTCAAGATAAGGGCCAGACTCAGACTGGCTCTCTGTCAAAAATCCTCACTGACTGACTGCGAACTGTTTGCTGAAAGACGGTGTAGACGTATGCTCTAATCGCTCAGGCCAGGGCTTCCTTTCTGTCTCAGACCTGACGATCACAGGATGGTCTCAAGAGCAGGAGTTTCAGTGGTAAGAACTGCAAGCTGGCACTGTGTGTCATCACGGAGTGTCTACAGCATCTTCGGGAACTTTTCCCTGCTGGACTTTCACATCAATGAGTCGAGTCTAACACTAAGTAACACCATTTCTTTGCGAGCGAGTGCTGCCCCGGCTGTGTGGCCAGCAAGCAGCTAAAGACACTGCCATGCTTATTATCATGTTCTTTCTGATTAGCACAGCTTTGCGTGCCAACACAGCATGATAGCACTCGAGGAGTTGGCACTGAGTGCTGGTGCGACTCATATTAGAAGTTCTAAATGTGGACGCTCGACCAGCAACCACAGTCAAAGTTCCAACATCCAAATGTTCAGCCTAGTTGCTGCGCGGTATATCTTTTAGGCTCGTTGGCAGTTGACTTATTAATGACCGATTCTCAAACAACAGTGCTTGGTTGCATGGCCGGCAGCCCAACTCTGGTCAGGGCCACGCTGATTGCAGCTGTGAGCCCAAGGGCCTTGCTGTCAGGCTTCACAATCTGAAGCGCTTTGCCAGGAGGAATTGTGAGACTGACAGAGTTGACAACCATTGGACGGATGGGCTGAAGGCCTTTCGCGGCAACAGGCGGCCACAACAGAGCCCAGCACATCTTGATGCACTTACCGTTCCACTTTGACGCTGGCAGGGTCCCGGCCATGTGCGCTGCAGGGATCTTGGCGACATCATCCTGGCCGGCCTCAGCGCCTTCCGTTTTCCCGGAAAATCAGATGGGCCTGCTTGGGTCTGAGTGTAAATGCCGCCGGCTCCGTGGCTGAGGGCGAATCCGTCAAGGTGTGATACCCCACGTGGGCGTCACTTGGGCTCAGCGATCGCTTCGTCTTGATCGTGTCCAGGAGGCTCATGTACTTGCCGCCCAAGATGATGTAGTCCTGCGAGCCCTCCAAGGAGAACAGCACATCGGCTGGGCCAATCTCCTCTTTTTCCTTTCCCGCCGGCGCCCAGAACTTGCCCTTGTAGTAGCCAGCCAAGGTGGTCCCTTTGCGGATCGTGCTGGGCTCGGCGTGCGTGTTCTGTAAGTAGGCGCCCTCGCCAACTGTGACCACGAGCATCACCGCGCTCAAATTACCAGATCCGACAAGGTGAGCCTCATGGTTCAGAGGATTCAAGTTGCTGGGCTCGAAAAAGTCCTCCTCGGCAATGGGCCCCTTGTCACAGTCAGTCTTGCTGCCGGATGGCAAAGCGCCTGGCACATTGATTTTTCGCTTCTTGCTCTTGCTGTCTTCATTCTCAGAGCTGCGCGTCTTAGGGGGCAGGTCTAGTGGTTAATCTGCACGCGTCTTCTGCAAGAACTCCCTGAACTCACCCTTGAAGATGCTGTGGTCATGCCAGGCAGCCAAGACTTTGGCAGGCGTGGGTCTGGAGGGTGCAGCCTGGAAGCCTGGTCTTGGAGTACGCCAGCAAGGAGAGGTTGGGTAGCTACAAGCTCTGCGTTCCTGCAAAATGCGGTGCAGCTGGCCAGTCACACGTCATCCCAATCAAACTCAAAGACTCCAAAGCAAGACCCAAAAACAATGATTTTCTCCTTTCCGGCAGGCTGAAAGTTGCCATTGCTGAGCTGCTCGGCCAGCTTCTCGGTGTGATGCTGCAAGGCCCAGTCCACCTGGCCATGATGCACTTGATACTTCAATGACGCACCACTGGCCCCAACACAGTGGCCATTCATTCATTCATTCATTCATTCATTCATTCATTCATTCATTCATTCATTCATTCATTCACTCACTCACTCACTCACTCACTCACTCACTCACTCATTCATTCACACGCACTTAACCCTTTGACACGCCCACATCATGATTTGTTTCAGGCCCAGCGGGCCTTTGGTCTCTTTCATCAGCTCTGTCCATGTAAGGCAGAACGAAGGGCATATCCAGGTTCAACCGGGAGTTCGCCAGGAGTTGTTGGCTGATTCCTCCTGTTTCCAAAGAAGCCCACGATGATAGCTGTGCGCTGGAGAGAGGAGCAGGCCGATGCAGGCGCCAGTCTCCGGGGAGTGCGAGTTCACCAGGTAGCCTGCTAGGGCAGCCTGTGTGCGCTGGTTCTCGGAGCTCACCAGGGATGGCGCACTCCAGTTCAAAAGCGTCACTACGCAAATGCTGTCTTTTGCCACCTGGAAGGTCTGGGACAGGCGGCGCAGGATTCCATCGATATCCACTCCCGGCTAGACTCTTGGAAGCACGCCTTGGCTTGGCGGAAAGCCTCCTGCTGCCTAGCAAGTTTGTGCTGCAGCTCAGCGTGATACACACTGGCTTCGTGATCCTCGCACTTCAGCAGCCAGTTGGCATACGCCTTGATGTCGTGCCTCAGCTTGGCAAGGGCTTGGCAAGGGTCAATTATCACGAGGCTCAGCGCTGAGTAGGCAAATGACAGCCACAATGAAACCAGCTTGCTACAGCACTCAAGGCACTCAAACATCTTCAGCGTGAGCGAAAACTCCTCCCTCTCTAGCTCGCCAGCCGCAATGGACCTTTTCTCGGACTCAGTCCTGAAGTTGCCCTCAGCACTGGCAGCATGACCTTTCATAAGCTCCTTGACCACCGTCAAACCAGCCGAGGTCCAAAGGCGGAGCGCTCAGCCAATGCCTCCTGGAGCTCCATCTCAAGGTTACGGTCCCCAGCCAGCAGCTGCTCGCTGACAAAAATGCCGCAACTCCCTGCTCTGCCAAGTCGTCCTGGACAGCCACCAGCAACTGGCAAAGGTGCGCTGCTTCCTGCAAGGTTTCCTTGGAAAGCTTTGCCCGGTTACCTGGCAGCAGCCGCCGGTGGGTGGCATCCACAAACCGGATCATCATCACAAAGCTCGCGGCGGTCTGAGTCAACCTCTTGCTCCAAATCTTGTCCCCCGTCTTGGTCACAGCACCCACCTGGATGGCCTTGTTGGAAAAGGCCTCCTGCAATAATTCATTCTAACTTTGAGAAGTAGTAGGTGGGTGGTCCTGGTTTGGTAGCCTGTTATTATTTGCAGAAACAACTACCATCACTACCCCAACTGCCGTCCTCTGCGAAGGCAGACTGCGAGCCAAACTCAGACGTGTGCTTCAGAAGCAACTCAGCCGTCCCAGGTGGTGCTGACAGCAGGAAGAGCAACGCGACGCGCTTCTGCCCAGCAAGCTGTGACTCCTTGGTTGCCTCCATGTTCCACGCCTTGATGGCAGCATCCGCTTTGAAGCCCTTGGCGCAGAGAAGGCTGAGCTTCGATAGCCATGTTGGAACATCGTGCGCTCGACGAATCGAGCCTCTTGATGACAGCGCGGCATTTGCCTAAGTCCAAAGGGCATGACATCAACGACCACGACTGACAACAGGTTCAAGTCAGTCACAAAGACCCCAGCGTTTTTAAATTAACTCACACACGCAAAGTACAACTTTGCAATTTGGAAGATAGGGCACGAATGCCACCCGCTTCGATGTCTGTGCTCAATGTTGCGCGGCGGGCCCAAATGACCCGCATGGACTCAAACAAGGCCGGGTGCAGGATCTCCAGCTTCCACTCGCACGCCATCGCCAGAGATGCCAGGAAAAGAAGGGTCATGGACCGGGCCGCCCCCTTCACACAGTGCACCACCCAGAAGGCCCTTCACTGGACCCCTGCGAGCCTGACCACAGAAGAACCGGGTCGCCTGGGCAGCAAGCCACTGAGCTCGATGCTTATGGATCCTGCTGACTGACAAGAAAACTTTCAAGAAATGCTTGCATCACATGCATTAAAGTTGCTCTCAGAGATGAAGCTGTTGCACAAGTACTCATCTAGCAGGCTGATGGCCGTGGTGAGGTACGGCGCGGGCTTCGTGCTTGACTCAGGACTGAAAGACAAGTCCGACAGCTTGAGGCAAAACATGGTTGAGTCATCCGCAGGGAGCGATGTCACGAAGTTGACATCTTGCCGCGTCGTGCTGAACTCAAGGCCCAGCGTCACAGCAAAGCTGTTGGTGTCAGGATGGTCTTGCTGCAGGTATTGCTGGGGCCCACCAAAATGGGACAGCAGCTTCTTGCCGCACTCAAAGGCGATCTGCTTGAAGTTCTCTGGTGGGGCCATTGCTGCTTCTGAAAAAAGAGCAGCCAAAAACTCAGCCTCAGACGCGCCAGCAAGACTGGCCGTGAAGAGGTCAACCTCCATCTTGCTCAGCTCCATCTTTTCGGGGGTCCCATCCGCCTCCGACTCCCCCAATCCCGATTTCACATGAGCGCACTAAGACTAATGGCAGGATTGCCATATCATAGGTCACAGCACAGCCCAAGCTGAGATTTACAATGGCTTGACAAACCACTCAGACTGGGAACCTGGCCCATGTTTGGCCAGAATGCGAATAATTTCTTCCAAGGCCTGTGCTGCAGTCAGGCAGCTTTGGGCCCAGAGATCTTCACCTTGGCAGGCTCTTGTGTGGCCCACTTCAGAAAGTCTGCTGGCTGGGCCCGCTCAGGCATGGGAGTGGTGGGCCGTCGTGCTTGTCCTGGGAGTGCCTGCTTCCGCAATCAATGTCTCGATTTAGGCAGCAGCACGCTCATAGCGCCAGGGTGACTGCAGGATCTTTTGCTGGGTTTTGCGCAGCTCACAAACTGCGTCCTTCCCCAGCTCATTCAAAGGCACATTTGCCTGGGGCCAGCCCGATGCAACCAACTGGCTCATCATCGCATGGGACAAACACCAGAGCTCCACATCCTGCATGTGTGCCTTGACCAGAAGGCAAATGTCCAAGGGGTGGGCCTCCTCCTGGAACACGGACTCGAGGCACGTTCGGGTCCTCAAGGCACCTGACAAGGGCAAGTCTGACTAAGTCAGCACCGAAGACCAAGCACACACAATTTCATTCTGACAAGGCCATTAATTGTTTTGCAATGAAACACAACACCTGTCCATGTTTGCATGTTTGACAACCCAGCTGCCAACTCACTGGCCTTTGCCGCACCCTCAGTGTGAAGGAATGACAAGCGTGCTGTCCGGCACGAAGCAGGGCAGCTGCTCAAGCCAGGCTTTGAAGTTCCACTGGCTGCTCAGGGTCTCTGCTTGAAGGACACGGCCCTCTCGTGGGCGCACCTCCAAAAAAGAGTTTGTTCTTGCAACACTTACAGCCTAGTTGGCAGGCTTGGCTTGGAAAAAAAAAGCTGGGCAGACCGACATTATTTCAACTTTGGCCCGCAGAACCTGGTTGATGATACGCAAAAAGTCCTCCGGGTGCTGCAGGACATCGCTAGCAAACAAGTGGTGTCGCACCTCCGAAAACCGCTGATCTGGCAGACCATGTGAGTGTCCAGCCCGAAAGTACGTGAAGACGAAGTCATCAAAGATGTCGCAGAAGACGAGGAAGGCGCCATACTTGAACGACGTCTGATTTTTCGTCTCAGCAGATTCCTTGGGAAGGCCACGCTTCAGCGTTTCTTGCAAGGCAGCCTCAATGCAGTGGGTGATGATGATGAGGTCCTTGTTGGCAGTTGCGCCGACTGTGGGGTCGCTGAGGAAGAACCGCTCTACCTGCCCATCCACCACCGCCAGCGTAAGCTTCAACTCTGGGCGATGCATGGCCTGGAACTCCTTGGACTTGCAGACGTTCAGCGGCACCTTAAACTTGCTGATGTCCATGCCATCCACCGTGATGCCCAGCCACGAGCTCTGCGAGCTGCAATCCAGCGCTGAGTGACCCGAGGTCATGCTCAGCGCAGCTGCTTGGCGCCAGAGGGCATCGGCGCGCCGATCACGCATCACCGCGTCCAGGCGCTGCACATACGCCGCCGCCACCATCTCTGATGTCGTCGCCGCCTCGCGCTTGAACGCCTTGAAGCGCTCACACGCATTGCACTTCGCATGCTGAGATTCCCCTCGGAACCGGAGCTTCTCCTTAAAGTCCTTGTGGAACACCCGCACCCAGGTTCTGTAGCTCGGGGCCACCAAGTGAGGCAAAAAAGATTTTGCAACCTGCAGCAATTCACTCAGAGCTGCGCCTGGGTGCAAATGCCGTGTCTCAGACGGCAACTCCGGCGATCCCATCTGTGACGGAGCAAGCAGGGCCTTCGCCTTCACCCCAATGTCCAGCTGCAGCACAGGGCTGTTGGCTTCAGCAAGGGGCTCAGCCAGGAACTCATGCACCAAGCCCACATTGTAAAATGTGCTCAGCAGGGGTCGGGCCACAGTTAAACCTCAGGTCCAGCGGCGGGTGTTTGTGGCCAGCAGCCAGCCACTGAGACAAGGTCCTGACCTTGTTCTTGCTCATGATCACGACGCTGGCCAGGGCGTTGCGGCAGGCAGCAAACGCAAAGATGTTGAAGCGGCGGTGGCTGTCATGCTCGCAATCCAAGAACTGCTTCATGAGCTCGAACTTCAGCTCTGACACCCGCAGCTTGGTCTCGCCTTGGAAAGCCATCTGAATCTCCTGAACCTGGAGCGCAGCCCCTTTGTCCTCTTTGCAAGCACTCGTGCTGGCAGCACCCGCACTCACCTGGCAGGCCACCGTCACCGTCACCACCGCCACTGGCCACTCCACCTGGACTAAGTGCCCAGGGCCTGAACAATGCTTTTGGCCGCCTGGCGGGCTCGAACCACCATGTTCTAGCCTGAAGTGTTCCACAGTAGCTTTCCCACTCGGGACTAGACGCCTTTCCCATTAGGCAACTGGGCCAGCTATCAGAACAAAGGGCCCAATCCCGTATTTTGAGCGCTACCTGAGCCAAGCACGCGCTGCAGCCAGATGACCACGGGAGCCTGGCGCACACGCAAGAGAGACACGCATTCATGTCGTGAAACATGACGGCAAGAAAGCGGGAGCCAACCGAAAGTCCTGGAGGGCCGGGCCAGGGACTTGGCAACCCAAGCCCTGGATAGTAAGTTCTTTAAGCCAGGGCTTTGAGCTGATCGCACTGAAGACCCAGCGTCTCTGTTTGGTCACACTGTCTGGCAAAGGAATGTGACACAGCATTAATCCGCAGTTTGACAGAAGGCAGCGTAGCGCTCTGGGCCGCAGTCTACTGTCTGGCATGACGCACACGGTCATAATAACTCATCACCAGCAGCAAGTCAGGCACCACGTACTTGAGGACAATGATTAATGGTGCCAGACCTGAGGCAAGGCTGGCCACCAATGCAGCTCAGCATGCTCACGTAAAGCAAATGCAATGTTTTTCTTGGGCAGGCTGCTCAGGGGTCCCGTGCAAAATCGTTCCCATTTGGTGATGACTGGCTTAATCAAGATCCGGGCCACTCCACAGCTGTTTGGATTGCCAAACTCCTGAGAAAGTCAAGGTGAAAGCCAAGTCCTGGAGTCCAGGACTTGGCTGCCCAAGTCCTGGACAGCCAGGACTTGGAACCTAAGTGCCCAGGCCTGAAAACACAGATTTAAAGGTCATGGCCAATGGTGAGTACCGAGCACCACCTGGGGCAAGCACGTGCTGCAGCCAGATGACCACGGGAGCCTGGTGCAGACAATGACAACTCGAGTCAAACTTCAACTGGCCGCAGGCTTTGATAAGCTTAGCACTTCATGCTGCTCAAAAGCCAAAGTGCTTGTTTTCCAACCCAAAGCACAAATCAGCAAGACATGGAAATAAAACCATGGGATCTGAGCAACTGACTGCAGGGCTATTTGCGCTGGACCGGCCTGGGCGCACAAGACCATGAATGTCAGCAATCACTTGCACGCATTCTTTGGCTCTACATTCGTGAAGGAGAGCACACACAAAAATGAGCACAGCAATATTGACAGAGCGGCTCCCTGTTTTCCTTCCTGGTGTCGGCTCATCAGGACAAAACGTCGCAGCCACATGGCGGGCCTTCCAGCCACAGTTCCAGAATGTTACTTGCTGGAACAATGTAGCACACAGAAGTTTGATGCGACTCATGGTGCAGTGCAGGGTGCACTGTGCAAGGGTGGCTGGAATAGCCACAACCTGGTCTGGCCCAGGTTTCGTTGAATTATTTGCCTTAGCCTGGAACCCTCCGAGAATGACATGAGCGCAGCAAGATTGAGCGGCTCCCTTGAGCGGAGTCGGCTCGGAAAAAAACGTCGCAGCCACATGGCGGGCCTTCCAGCCACAATTACAAAGTTTCTTGCTGCAACAATGTAACACGCAGAAGTTTAATGCCAGTCATGGTGCAGGTCAGTGCTGTCATTGTCATTCAAGGGTGGCTGGAATAGCCGCAACCTGGTCATTGACATGACCTGGCCAGTACCCTCAAAAAACACAGGCTGACACACTTGGTTGCTTACTTGGTTTTTTAATTGTTTGGGTGGGGTGTGCTGCAGCGCACTGGGACTCTCAGCCCTGAAAGAGGGAGACCAGGTCATGTCCTGTGCTCAGAGCCCCTGATAACCACCATCACCGCCTTCAGGAAGTGGTTGAACTGCTTGTCCACATACAGGGCCTCCTTGCCCTTGCTTATGTTCATGTGGCCAAGGGTAGCACCTTTGTTGTTGCAGAATCAAGGGCCCTCAACGCACGCTTCATTTACGCGCACCAAAGAAAAACACACTGGGCATTCGTCATAACCAAAACGCTGATGGGTTGGGGCCTGGCTGCTGGGGATCTGTGGACCCCGCCGTTGCAGTGGATGAACACCAGCCTGGACTTCTGCACCTTGTCCAACACGTCCTGCCACGTGGGCATTTGACCAGGGCTTGTTTGTGGAAGTGGCAAGTCCATTCAACTCCCGTGTTTGTTCACGGGCGTAGCAAAAATGTTACTCACAGCCAAGGCAAGCTTCAGCGATGTCTTGAATTGCGCGTCCTTGTGGCAAAGAATCCAGTTGGGGTTCGCAGTGACCACTTGAAGATGCTGGGGCCAGGGCATTGGCTTGCCTTGGTCGAGGAAAACAAAGCAAAGTAGTAGGCCCCTACAACTTCAGCCCGTTTAGCTAAACATTGCACACTTGCTATAAGGCAAAGATCAACAGAAAGTGTTGCAATCTGGGAGGTTTCAGGAACTTCGGCAGTTCACCACCAAGCCTGGGAAGTCCCGGAGTACAGTGTACGCGCTCGGGGCTCCCCCGACAAACACTGCCCTTCCTTCAAAGAACAGTGGCCGCAAGTTGCGGACGCCCGTCTCCACGAGGCGTGAGTACCACTCCCACGCCTCTCCTTCTTCGTCCACCACCTGGTGGACCTCCTCAACTTTCTCCTCGTCTTTCTGCTCGTCGTCCTCCACCAACTTCTCCTTCACATTGCGCCACTCCCACTCCTCCTCGGCCGCCTCCTGGGGCTCTGCCGCCCATTCGCCCTCATCCACGGCCTGGTCCGCCTCGTCATAGTCATCCACCCGCTCATAGGGCTCCTCATACGCTTCCTCCACGGCCACTTCGGATTCGGCGGCCTCGGACTCGTCGTGCTGCTCGTCGTCAGGAGCCTCATCTTCATCATAATTCGTGCTCCTCCAGCTCTTCCTTCTTAAGCGCTCGGGCCAGCGTCGGTGTTGAGGCTCATCTGGCTGGAGAATTGGCTGGGGATGATCCCCTGGCTGAGGATGGCCTGGCTGAGGATGGCCTGGCTGAGGGTCGTGGCGCAATGCCTTCCGACGCCCCTTCAGTCTTAGCCTTGTGCAGCTGCACGCGCTTGGCATCCTGCAGCGCAGCAAGAAGGCAATAAATTTTGCATTATTTTCAGGCCGCGACACAATAGCATTCTAAATTAAACTTGAGTTGGCGTCATTTCAAAAGGAATAGCATACTAAACAATGATGGCCAAGGCACACGCCTCAAGTCTGCCGGCGACTTGCGCTTGAAGCCCTTCGGCTTATCTCCAAAGCCGCCACCGAAGTTGCAGCCGCTGAAGGTACAGCCGCTGAAGCTCATTGGTCACACTGAAGCCTGCGAAGCAGCCGGCGCAGACTCTGAAGCCCATGGACCGCACGCGGTGAAATTTGGGTGCCTAAAGTGTGCGTGTGCTGGCAGTTGGTGTGCGTTTGCTGCCTGGCTGTTGGTGTGCAACTTGTATCAATGGCCGCCGCCCCCTTGGCTGCAGGTGAGAGAGCCACATGCGCCAAGTAGTGAAGGAGCACACAGCAGGAGAAATGTCTGACAAGAGGTGATTGTGACACATGTGTCACTTCAAACTCTGGCTGGCTGAATAGCAATGAGGTTCAGGCCCACTGAGCATGAAGAGCGCCAACACCAAGCCAGCGTCAGCTGCAGCCTGAGCGAGCACATGAATGCTGCAACTCGGAAAAATGAGTGCAGCTGAGCACAGCGCCCACTCTAACTGACTCCCTTGCAACTGCCTTGCCGAAAAGCTTGATGGAAGCGTGGGCTTGACATGAGAACCAGGCTGCCACAGAGATGAACAAGTATGTCTGTATGCAATGTGCAATAAAAGAGCCCTGACAGGAATGAGACCCTTCCAAAGACAATTGCAGGCGGGCAGCAGAGTGAGAAACAAGAGCTGTGGACAGCAGACAGAACAAGGCAAAGACACTGGAAACGAAATCTGCCCAACGCCAAGCCAAAGAACGGCAGCCCAGACTGCGGGCAGCCAGCAATCACAAGCTGCAGCGAGAACCGCGCAATAGTTGGCTTGTTATTCTTTCCCAGCCCCTCGCAAGTTGGCAGCAGCAACAAAGGCCAGCGACCAGAATGCTATAATATTGTGAGTGTGCACAACATGATCTTCATGCAACTGCAAACATGATATTCATCCAGCTGCAGGTCCTGGGACGGCTTGCAAAGCTACAACTGCAAATCCAACAGATCGGCAAATGCAAAATGAAGGGATCAGGTATCATCTCCACGCCGCAATGGTGTCAAGAAAGGTCCCGGCATTCTGTGCAAGAAGAAAAAGAACTGTCACCATGACTTGATGCCTGCAACAATGAGCTCAGTATTCCTGAGCAATCCTTAGCACTGAGTTGACGCTGGCTCAGTGCCTTGCCTTGTGCCAAAATCAGTTATTGGTGCCGGACCGATCCTGAGGACTGTCAACTCCCCAGTCAGGCACCTGAATACGGTCCTGATCAAGCGCTTCCCTGAGGTCAAGCGTTTAGTGACAGCACACAAACACATCATGACAATGCTGATCACCCTTCAAAGACTGAGTGGTGGCTCCGGGCTGCTGGAAACTAACCTTAAAAGGTTCGCCGGCTGCAGAGGGAGGCCTGTGGCAGAGGGGGGCCTGGTTCTCCAAGGCAAACCCTAAGTGAGACCAACTCCTGGTCATCCAGGAGTTGGTCTCCTGGCCATCCAGGAGTTAACCAACTCACACAGACAAGATTTTAGCAACTGCGCGCCTTATGGCTATGACAGAAATGCGAGACCCCTTCAATGGCACAACAAGAAGCTATTGAGAGGAGTCGGGCTCATAAGAAACTCACAACCATGCAACATTCGTTGGTCCACACACACAGCGTTTATCGGCCACTGGTGGCTGCAGCAAAACCTTCACGGAAGGCAGACTGGAAGGAAATACACAAGAGATTCCACGAATAAACAAGGACTCATGATCAAGCAAAGGAAAGGTCATCAAAGGTTCTTCGCTCGCGACAGCAAGTTGAACAGTGGTTCAGATCGAATCGAGGCCGTGCCTTGTCGTCCAAGAGGCGCACCCGGAAAAACAAAACAAACAGCACCTTCCGGTGCTTGAGGGGCCCAGACCTGCGCCTTTCGGTGCTTATTAAGCACCTTTCGGTGCTGCACCGTTCGGTGCTTAGTACTAAAAGCACCTTTCGGCGCCGCACCTTTCGGCGCTTAAAGCACCTTTCGGCGCACTAGTTTAGTTAGACCCCAGGGCCCAGCTGCAGACTAAACCTTGGACTCGGCAGGCCCCTGGCCGAAGAAGTTGAGGACCCCTTCTGACAAACAGGGTGCATGCTGCATGCCAGGACGCCATGCCAAACAAACCCATAACTGTCATCGAATCTCAAAAATATGTTTGCATATTTTCTTACAAGAAGCCCAATTTCATCACGCCTACTGACTTCTGGGCAAACCAACCTACAATTACTGTCCGCCCTGCCCCCCCCCCCCCCTGCCACTGGCAAATGACTGTTGGACCAACATGTATGAACTTTTTGAACTGTTTGATCCACAAATCATGCTTGAGATTCCTTTGGGGAGCCTCGTTGGGGTGTTGAGGAGGTTGGGCATCTTCGGTGGGTTTGTCTTTGCCCAGGACAAGGCATGTGCTGATATGTTTTGCAATTGTCAACTTCAACACTTCCACAGTATAGCAGTTTTTGTGTAATGTAGCCGCCATGCACCAACTATTCAAATTTTAAGTTAGTTTGTAATATGTACAAAATTGGTTCCTATACAGATGATGCATACATTACACATTTATACATAAAAAAATAAAATAAAACAGAAATGTTTGTATCCAAAAACGGTTGAGTGCAGCAAAACAAACGCTATAATTCATAAATACCATGTGTTCCATGCATTAAATCAAAGGTCAAAAGCAAAACACATAGGCTGTGTTTACTTTGATGCATTTTTCCTTTGCTTGAGATTGTCCTTTTTCACCCCACAGAAAAAACACAAATAGCCAGACAAAAAACCCAACTAGCCAGGCAGACCCTTTTAAGCTACGACCACATCCTGCCTCCACGCGACCGGCATCCGTGTTTCCGCCTCAGGCCCCAGACTTTCAAGACTTCCAAGACTGCGCGCTCGGGAGACTCTGCCTGCCAGCCGCACCGCCCCATCCGTAGCTTCCTGTGCTCCAGCAGCCGCCACAACCGCAAGGCGCCACATTGGCCACCAAGAAAACACCGTAAATATCCACCGGTCTAGTTGTGAGGCCTGGAATTCCAGGGGCAAAGCTGTTGAGTCTCTGATGCAAAACACATGTGAAGTAGGCGCGACAAAGTACCACCTCTGCTTAGGCATGAAGCATGCTGGCGCTTTATGGGTCTGTGCTACCGAGGTCTGACCTGCCGGTCCCTGATTGAGCCAATGCAATTCGTGAGCACTACATTCTACGCACGTTCACAATGTGTCGCAATACACATGAGTTGATGTAGCTCATGCCGCCAAACCTGGGAGCATGCACAAGCTTTGCTCTTTGAAAACAGACTTGCCTGGACATCCACTTCTTTCACGCTCTTCCAATCCCATGTTTTGAGCCAGAGCCATGCTTGTTTCCTTCACAGAGTCCCCTCGGTGCGCGCTCCGCTCACTGTGACCTGAGCACTTTCGGCCCGCAGAAAGGGAGGCATAGAAACACACTCGGAGATGCGTCAGGAGATGCGTCAGGACTTCAGGTGTTGCGAGCTCACACTTTTCCAACTCCGCGTGTCCTGGAGCGAGGGAATCTGGGTGTTGAGGGCCTACGGAGACATTGGAGACATGATAGATGCATACCACGGCACAGCCGCTGAACCAAGCACAAAACAGACAAAACACAAGCCAGGTGTATCCAGAACTCACACTTCAAAGGCATCAACATGTATCACGAATCATGCCTCCCCGACCTGGAAATGTCCCGCAAGCTGGACGGCTTTCAGCGCGTTCAACATGTCCCAGCCGAATTCAGAACCACGCGAAATCAAGAGTCAATGGAGCGGCAGCGCCCACAACATGTAACAAGCTGGGATGTTTCGACTTGAGCTATGAGACTGCTGCCAGAATATCCGAAGTCTAACCTCCGACCTTCTGGTTTGGCTGGAGCTGTGATTTTCCAACACTTCCCACAAAGCCGGGAAGCCGGCAATGCACTTTGGAGATAGGCCGACGCCTATGTCCGATGCAAACAAACTGCCGTTGGAATGGTGATGAGGTATTGCCTCAGTCACCCTGCAAATGGCAAAGGCCACTTCTGAACCGCTCGCCTGCAAAAGCATACAGGAAGGGCGGGTTTTCTAAGGAACATTTCTACGCCATTTGTTCTATACACAGGCTAAGTCAGAAGTTTTGATTGGAATTGGCGCTTTCCACTGCAAACACTGGCAAATCTGGCAAATCGCTACATAGCTTTTAGCTACATAGCTTTGGCCTTGGCATTTGGGGCGGCTCTTGTGGCTGTGTCGGTTGTGGCTTTGCGGTGTGCGCCTTCCTCCCTGTGGTGCCATCGACTCGGAGAGGTCTTTGGTTTCTGTGCAAATGTTACCTGAGCGAAGGGCCGCGCCCTTGTGCATGCAGAAGCCCCGGGGCATGTGTCGAACACGCTTAAGCATGTCCCGGACAAAGCCCCATGATTCGGCCGTATGAGCAGCCCAGTGTCTCAGCGTCGACACATGCCCCGTGGCAGGGTTTTCTAAACTTGGTATGTTCTGGCCGAGCGGAGATAACTACGTCCTTTCTTTTTGACAGGAAGATCGGCCTCTCTTTTGGAGCATCGCATTTCTGCCTGACGAACAAAATGGCAGGTGTTGCTCAAGAGACCGATGCAAGGAAACTTGCGTAAAGCTTCCAGCTGGCCAAGTACGCCCGGCGGAGAAAAGCGGCGTTTGCAAGAAGGCAGCATTGACAAGTGGCATTGTCTTGATGACGGTTCAGTCGTTTGCCTGACACTAATTGGAGCCTCCAGTCATGGCGCAACTTGTGGCAAACCTTGTCTGGGCATCAAAAAAGGACCTTAGAATAAATGTTGAACAAGCCTTCGGCAATGCTTGCGCCTCCGCTCGGCCCAGCAGATAATTGGAGGAGGGCCGTCCATGTAAGGTAAAGGCAAGCACACCCAATGGCAATGCAAGGTAAAATACAGTAGTGAGGGTGTTTGGGTATGCACAGCATGCTCACGGCGTGCTCAAACTCATTCGACCAGGCAAATCAAGGCCCGCTGTCTTGGCCTATCTTTTTACTGTGCTGGCCTGCGCCGTCACTGATACAAGTTGCTCCTCGCCGCTTGTGGATTGAAGCCTCTCTGTTGGGTTGGAATTTGCTTGGCATAGGTACGGCCATGATCTGTTTCAGCACGCAGCCGCCTTTTGATTGCAGGGGGTTCGAGGAAACACATTGCGTCGTGGCTTGCCAACTTGGTTCCAGCCCTCCAGAGGTTTCAACTTGTACGGCATGAGTTTATCACCTCAGGCGTGCCAGCGCATCCCGGATGCCATCGCACAGGTCGAGCCTGCAAAGCGAAGCAGCTCAAGCACGCGGACTGCGCATCAATCACCACAACCACCCCAGAAGCACAAACATTCGGCCACAAGCTGAGCTCTAGGATGCTTCTGAGTTGACGGTCGGCATCACTTGGATCAAACAACTGATCAGCAATGCTCACATGTTTTTCCCGGCCTGAAGCGAGAGATGTTTGCCAGGCCAAGCACGCTGGCGACGGACATCTTGGACAGGACCCCCTGCAGGCTCTGCAATTCGCGCTTGGAAGTGGACGACAAGGAGTCATCCTCAGTCATCATCTCCTCTTCCAAGAGCCTGAGGATTTCCTGGAGGGGCAAGTCGATCCCCTTCTTTTTGGCCCTCTTCACTTTTGCGCTCAGCACAGAGTGCAGCAATGCGAGCACCTCCGGGTTGCGCATAGTGTTCAGCATGGTCCGCTGTCGCTTGTCCAGCTTGGTCGTGCTTGTGTGTGGCAAGTGGCAAAAGGCGCAGGCCGGGCCATTCACGCACGCCCCTTTGCTCACATAGACACAAGGCCTGGAGCAGAATTCTGGATGGCCTTTGCTGCCCAAAGAGCTGGATGTGCAATCTTCCTCTGAGACAGACGGGCAAATGTCAACGGGCTGCGAAGGCTCGGCGACTGCACCTGCGCTGGAAGGATCGGAGGGCCCTGCGGCGGCCCAGTCCAAGAGCCGCTCCGGCAACTTCTCGATGTACTCTCGACACTGACATTCGTCCATGCTCATCTCATGCTGCCATCGTGCCGGTGCTGAGGGAGCTGAAAATGAGCGTGGGGCCAACGGGGGCGTGTCCTCCTCCTCCTCCTCCTGCACGTGGATGAAAGTCCCCAAGTAGCAAATTGCCATGTCCTCTTCCACCGACCCAAGATCGAACAGCTACGGAACTCCTTAAAGACACGCAGTCTGGTGAGCCAAAATGGTTCGCGTTGCCATCTGCCTGTCCAAACGCAGCATCTCCCAGAATTGAGCTCTACGCTCTGACATGCGCATTGTAAAAGACATTGCCCTGCCTGCATCGCCGGCCCGACAAACAAAGACCCAACCAGCCTCTGTCACTCGAACTCGCAAGGTCAGCTAGAATGTCAACAAGAAAGAATTCCAAGCCAAAATCCCGGATATCACAGAGAGGTTGTTCATCGGTGTTTGCTCATTTTTGTCCGTGTTGCCCACGCACGGAAACAAGCATACTCCTTTTAGGCATCTGCAAGCAAAAGTTGCCTGGCATGTGTATTCAAACTGATGCTTCCAAAATGCGCCCAGAGTGTCAAATGCTTCGTTACACAAGATCGTTTGTCTGTTTATCAACCTTGGTGGTATTGGTACGACTAGCGACTCTTTCTGTTTGCTGTATGGCTCTGCTGATCCCGCGTGCATCAAGTGCATTTGTTTGCCGCCGGGGTTGTGTGATGCTGCTCGCAAAGCCTTGTCCTGTGGCTGGGTGTTCTGATGTCAGTGGCAGAGGTGCGTGCATGAACTTGTTCGCTTCATGGTAATGATCACATGACATCTGTTCCTGTGCAGTCATCAGAGTGGGAGACGTGCGGTTGTCTGTCCTGATGTCTATGTTGCATTGCCAGCCGGGGGTGAATGGCGTGTTGTTCCGTTGCAGGCCACATTGCGTTGTCCTGCATTGCCGCAACGCAAGGCTTAGAACTAGGAAGCTGTGAATGCATAAACTGCTAAAGCTGTGGTTGCACGTGTTTCAAGAGCACGAAAGTTGAATATACGTGGACTGGCATTAAGCAAGGCTTGTGTCCTTTGGCTGTCTCTCAAAGAATACCTGTATGGCACACCGCCTGTTTTGCGTCGAGACCGCTGCTCGTTCGCTCATCAGGCCCCGATCTCCAAATATCCCGCCTCGCTGTTGACTCACTCGAGGTCATGGGTCATGAGGACCCTATCAGCTGAAGAATGAACTGACACATTTGAGCAACGAGTACATGTCATGAGCGCATCCCGTCGCCTCGACAGCACGTGAAATCGACGTGTCGATCCATGACGCATCAGTTCCTTTTTCGGATACAACCGGTTCCTGGGCGGAAAAAAGACACAGATCGCTTTAGTACAGGTTCTCTTCCGTTGACCCGGTCGAACATCAGTGTGCTCGCCCCGCCGATTGATGGATGCGAAGTGCTAGCTAGAAAATCACAGCAGGTCAACCATGGATCCAAAAGCTGGGCGAGTTCACAAACAGAGAGCGAGGGATCGAAAATGCAGTCTGCCAGCTATGATCCTTTTTTGTGGGCCTGCTGGTGTGGATTGGAATATGTGCAGTTTGCAAACTCCGTTTGAAAGGCATTGACACATCAGCACGCTCACAGCCAATCCTCACAGCAGATTCATGCAAGCAGGGTAGCAGGCTTTTAGGGCAACGTCATCTGGACCGGGTGACGTTTTGCGTCTCGCAAAATTGCGACCCCTGCTTCAGCAAGTGCCGTCAAGGCCCAAGCCGACGTTTTCGCAAGTGCGGTCCAGCTCGGTTTAAACATAAATCAGCGGTTGCGCCTGACGGTCTGGCTGAAGAAGGCACTTGGTCCACAAGCAAGGCCTTCAGCACGGAATGCAGCCTGCCCTGTGACGGTTGAAAACCAATTTGCTAAAGTAAAGCACCACTGGATATCCCAAACCTCCAGAAAAGGTTTGACTTTCAGAACATCCTTGGCCAATCGTTGCACGAAAGTGCCGAGCCGCAGGTTGAACTTGGCACGAATGTGTGTTTGAATATTGCTTTCCACCCACGTCTCAGCTAGGAAAAAAGGCCGCGTGACGTGTGGGTGACTTGATTCGGGCCACGGAATGGTGCATTGCCGCAGCCTGTGCACAGGTATGTCGGCCTCTCTCAGTCGCAATTGCACGCCTCCCGCGCATTCTGAGCAAAATCGATTCTATGGCACTTTGGCCCATGTAATTACCTCAAGAGAGACCGGCCATGCCAATGCCAAACGCTTTCCACAGGAAGCTTGTGAACTTCCCGGCTGCAAGCAATGCACACCTGGAGGAGCAACATTATCCTTTGAACACACACACACACACACACACAATTTAGGCTTGGCTGGTTATTGCACTTGTCCTGTCACGTGCTAAATCTACCTCCCTAGATCAGGGGCTCAGGAATTTGAAACTGAGCCCTGCTGGACTCCGCTCCTCCCAAAAAACAATACAAAGTCCCACACAAGTCCAACGCGTTCTCTAGAGTCTGAGAGTTGCGTGAGAAACTGAGGTCTCATGCTGCTGATGCTGAATTGTGCGATTCCATCAGGAGCAAATCTCAGGTTGAATCCTACGACACCTTGAGCTCCTTGCATCGGGGCGTCGGGCAAAGTGTGTCCTGGACATGATGCAACATAAAACATGTATTTTGAGGAATCAGTAGTGCCATGCTCAGGACACGCTCAAACTCATTCGACCAGGCAAATCAAGGCCCGCTGTCTTGGCCTATCTTTTTACTGTGCTGGCCTGCGCCGTCACTGATACAAGTTGCTCCTCGCCGCTTGTGGATTGAAGCCTCTTTGTTGGGTTGGAATTTGCTTGGCATAGGTACGGCCATGATCTGTTTCAGCACGCAGCCGCCTTTTGATTGCAGGGGGTTCGAGGAAACACATTGCGTCGTGGCTTGCCAACTTGGTTCCAGCCCTCCAGAGGTTTCAACTTGTACGGCATGAGTTTATCACCTCAGGCGTGCCAGCGCATCCCGGATGCCATCGCACAGGTCGAGCCTGCAAAGAAAAGCAGCTCAAGCACGCGGACTGCGCATCAATCACCACAACCACCCCAGAAGCACAAACATTCGGCCACAAGCTGAGCTCTAGGATGCTTCTGAGTTGACGGTCGGCATCACTTGGATCAAACAACTGATCAGCAATGCTCACATGTTTTTCCCGGCCTGAAGCGAGAGATGTTTGCCAGGCCAAGCACGCTGGCGACGGACATCTTGGACAGGACCCCCTGCAGGCTCTGCAATTCGCGCTTGGAAGTGGACGACAAGGAGTCATCCTCAGTCATCATCTCCTCTTCCAAGAGCCTGAGGATTTCCTGGAGGGGCAAGTCGATCCCCTTCTTTTTTGCCCTCTTCACTTTTGCGCTCAGCACAGAGTGCAGCAATGCGAGCACCTCCGGGTTGCGCATAGTGTTCAGCATGGTCCGCTGTCGCTTGTCCAGCTTGGTCGTGCTTGTGTGTGGCAAGTGGCAAAAGGCGCAGGCCGGGCCATTCACGCACGCCCCTTTGCTCACATAGACACAAGGCCTGGAGCAGAATTCTGGATGGCCTTTGCTGCCCAAAGAGCTGGATGTGCAATCTTCCTCTGAGACAGACGGGCAAATGTCAACGGGCTGCGAAGGCTCGGCGACTGCACCTGCGCTGGAAGGATCGGAGGGCCCTGCGGCGGCCCAGTCCAAGAGCCGCTCCGGCAACTTCTCGATGTACTCTCGACACTGACATTCGTCCATGCTCATCTCATGCTGCCATCGTGCCGGTGCTGAGGGAGCTGAAAATGAGCGTGGGGCCAACGGGGGCGTGTCCTCCTCCTCCTCCTCCTGCACGTGGATGAAAGTCCCCAAGTAGCAAATTGCCATGTCCTCTTCCACCGACCCAAGAGCGAACAGCTACGGAACTCCTTAAAGACACGCAGTCTGGTGAGCCAAAATGGTTCGCGTTGCCATCTGCCTGTCCAAACGCAGCATCTCCCAGAATTGAGCTCTACGCTCTGACATGCGCATTGTAAAAGTCATTGCCCTGCCTGCATCGCCGGCCCGACAAACAAAGACCCAACCAGCCTTGGTCACTCGAACTCGCAATAGAAAGGTTAATTGCAGGTGCCGTCCAGGGGTCAATGGGCAGGTCACCCTCGACATGGACAAAGGTGCCAAGCAAAAAAGCGACACTACAAATCTCCAACCCTTTGCGAATCCGGTTGTGAAGGCACTGCTCACTCACACTGCTTTAAACTTGTGGCTCGATGTGGACATTACCCACTAGGACTGAAAGGCTGCAAACTGCCGCACGGAGGCAACGTGGATCGTGCACTTCGCAGGTACACTAAGCCCACTGCTTCGTTCACCAGCCTGCCCAGGCGGCATCCTGGTCAGACTCACGGATGCAATGTTGATCCCTGTCTCTCCCCAGGCCTCATGAAATCGGGAAAAGCAATCTCCTACAAGGAGAGCAAGTTCTCGGTCAGGCTCAAATGAGCCATGCTACAAATACCGACAGATTCTACCGCGATAACAAGTTGCTTACGCCAACACTTTTACACGGCTTACGCGCGCACACGATCAGCTGCATGCTTCTGCTAGGCTGAGGGATCATAGTCTTTTCTTTCAGCAGCCCGCTCGAGAGTGAACTCTTCGGGACATTCGGAATGGGAGGCGTGCTTTGAGGCTTGGAATCGGAGAGCCAACCCGGTGTGGAGCCAACTGCGCTTTTGAGTAAAGCTCTGCATAGTCATAGTGGCTTGACCGACCTCTCAGGCCTGTTAAGCAACATGCCTCTGAGCTGTGCTACACCGCCGTTCATGTGTAGTAGAAGCCTTGCAATACGGAGCATGTTGCTATGCATATCCCCTGCGTAAGCTGCGCGAAAGCGACTGATTGGACGCATACAAAGTGTACTTTGCGTACTACGCTTGTACTGACAAGTTGCTATTTGCGAGCTGGAGCTTCCAAAGTGCACTACTTCCATATTGAGTCGCATCGCGCAAGAAAGGCCTCGCGTAAGCTATCGATATGGTAGCGTACGAACATATTGCTAAGCGCGGCTGGGGCAAGCCTAGATAAGCCTCGCATAAGCTCTGCATTGAACGCTTCTGTTCTGGGGATAGCGCGGCGCAGTTTCGGCCTGGCAAACGCCATTCATGCGCAAGGAAGTTGGCGCAATCTATGGGAAGCTACCACGTGCGCCCGCCTGAAGCGAGAGATGTTTGCCAGGCCAAGCACGCTGGCGACGGACATCTTGGACAGGACCCCCTGCAGGCTCTGCAATTCGCGCTTGGAACTGGACGACAAGGAGTCATCCTCAACCATCATCTCCTCTTCCAAGAGCCTGAGGATTTCCTGGAGAGGCAAGTGCAACAATGCGAGCACCTCCGGGTTGCGTATGGTTTGCAGCATGGTCCGCTGTTGCTTGTCCAGCAGCTGACAACTCGGAGGCACCCTTATGCTGGTTGAGCCTTGCTGGAATCGAGCTCATCTTTGTTTGCATCTTTCGCTGCGTCTTTCGTCCCGGATGCAGACGCGCGAAATACTCCCGGCACTGCGACTTCTCGAAGCTTGCCTCATGCTGACATCTCAGGAAGCCGAAAATGAGCGTGGCGCAGGAGGGAGATCATCCTCCTGGACATGTATAAAAGCTCCCAAGATGTGAAATGTCACCACGGCAACAAGCACTCTGTCGCTCCATTCTCTCTGGCTCTCACACACTTCCTCTCTCTCTCTCTCTCTCTCTCTCTCTCTCTCTCTCTCTCTTTTTCTGTCCTTTGAACATGCACACAGCATGCCAAATAACAAATCATGCATGGCACATCATGCCTGCCAAAGTAACTATGCTGGCCATTGCCTGTTTGGACTGGCCGCACAAGGGGGACTTGTCATTTGATTTCTGCGTTCCCTACTTGAGCCTGGTCTCCGCAAGCGCCGCGCAGCCACTGGGATTCAGAAGTTCACGTTATGTATTTCCGAGCTCTGCAACCATGTCCAACAATAAGGCTGTTTTTCACTGGGTTGCTTGCAGCTTTTGCTGTGCTCCGAAAACAGTGCTCAAATTCACTGCTGGGCCCGAGTCTGCGGACTTGAGCGGGCCCAAGCAAAACAATGCAAGGGATATGCTGGATTGAACGGTTGAAAGCGAAACTCGGAGCAAGATACGATAAGCCAACAACTGGCCCAGGCCACTCCACAACCTGAACAATCCCGACGACCTCGTCATGAGCCCATGCTCGCTCAACGCTTGCCCGTTTTCGCTACAGCTGCTGCAACCGCTGCGCGTCAGCTGCGCCGAGGCCCAACTGAGCCATGAGCATGGAAGATTGAGCCGAGAGAGAGGGAGAGAGAGAACAAAAACAGGCAGGTTTTTTGCAATCTCAGAACACACGCCTCGTCTATCATCATCTCAAGGTTCTCTGCGACCTGCGCACGCACGCATACGCATGCCAACTTCTGCCCATCGAGGCGGAACTGATAGGTTCCGAAGTGAGAAAGCTGACCCCGAGCCGGCTGGATGGCCACAAGTGTATACATGACAAAACACGCAAGATCTCGCATGACTATTGACGCCCCCCACACGGCGCTGAGAATCCTGATCTGCCCGCACAAGCGGAGCTGTAGCCAGATGATAGTCATATAGTTGCATGACTCGTTGGCAAATGATATGAGGAGCTGTCCATTTCACGTACGTGAGACTGCGGGGCCCTGGTCATGCCGAGGCACGGCTGAGATAGTGACCTCACTTCGTGAGACGCAATTGGAAGAACACTGGTAAAAAGTACAATCCATATTCCTGCAAAATTGGAATCGCCTGGGTTTCGACAGATACGCCTGTGTGTTTGAGCCTGTTGCCATCTCCAGAACGACACATGAGTGCAGCATAGAAGGAAGACATGGCACAGACCCGGAACCTGTGCATTAATCAGGCTCCCTCCCCCACACATCTTCAGTCTTTTCGAGGTGCGGGGGGAGGGGCCTCAGGAAACAACTTGGCCGCCCTTCTCCACCGGGTTGGGTGGTGGTGGGCACTTGAGCCAAAATGGCCCACGGCCCACAACCACCCTTGGAGTGCAGAAATGTCATGCACATATTACATTCCGCGGGCTCCATTCATATGTTTCACGACATGGCACAGACCCACCCTCCCTCCCAAGCAAAGGCGCTCTTTTGCGGTGTTGGTGGAACCTGTGCATTAGTCAGGCTCCCTCCCCCACACATCTTCAGTCTTTTCGAGGTGCGGGGGGAGGGGCCTCAGGAAACAACTTGGCCGCCCTTCTCCACCTCTTTGCTGCTGCACGGCCTAACCGCTCTTACACTTCAAGCATGTCACCTGGCGCTTGTTCCCCTGCATGAAAATGAAAGATGCGTAGCCATAATACCAGCCACATCTGGTTCTCCACGTGGCCGGAGGGGAACAAGCCACCATGCTGGCGTTGGTGTGGATCACGGAGCCGTGTACGTTCTTCACCAGGGATGGCAGCTCACCGTTGCCGGCTTCGACCTTCTCCTTCCATGCGCTTACTTCGGTGTCGAGCTTGTCTCGCATGGCGTCCGTGTCCAATTTCAGGGCCTCTACCTCGAGGGCCAACTGATTCCTCACTGCATCCCAACCCGGGCCTTCGTTACCGTGTCGACCTGGGCCGCTCTTATCATTGACCGGCATGGTTTCCAAAGCTTCTTCAGCGTAGCTGTAGATAACGTTTGATTTCCAGGGGCCCAAATACGCAACTTGTGGGATCGCCCAACCCTGTCTGATGTAGGTCAGCGCTCCCGTGCGTCGCGCAGAATTGGCCCAAGAAGCAACTACCTGCGCCTTTGTTGCCACGTTGCCGCTGCCTACTTTGCAAAGGGCATCGTCAAGCTCAATGACGTTCTGGCCGGAGCGCACCAGTTTCTTGGCGTGCAGTCCCAGCCACAATCTCCCTGGCAAAGACACTGCAGGACCCGCCTCACTCCTCTGGCCTCTTGATCTTTCTTGCTCTCATGCAACACCAGCGTGACCCTCTTTGCTGTGTCATTGACCAGCAAGTCGCCTTTCTTGAGCGCGGCGATCTCCACCTCCCTTAACATCCAAGTCATTCCCAAAATGAAGATCTCGATCGGGTCCGTCAGGCGCCGCTGTGCTCGCCACCTCTTGGGGAGTTGAGCCCCTTGGATGGTTTTTTTGGCGGCTCGGGCGCGTTTGCTCTGGGGCCCACGCCTCTTGACACCGCCATGAGGCACTGCCTCATGACCCTAGCCAGCAAGTCACTCCACGCTTTCCCTGCCTTGACATGCATGAGCTTGGCTTCCGCGAGGTAAATGTGGGCGGACTTGTAGCCGGCTGACTTCAGGCTTGCCGCTAAACACTTCACCTTGTCCGCATCCAAAGGGGTGACCGCGAAGCCCGCTGATTCTGCTATGCGCCGGACGGTGTTCCTTCTTGCTGCCTTCGCCTTTCTAGAAGAGTTGGCGCAGAAGTCCTTCTCCAGCTCCCTGATGGCCATCTTCCTTTTCCAAGGGTCCCTGATGGCCTTCAGCGCCGCTTCCTTGCCGGTCTTGAGGCCACTCCTCCTGACCGGGCAGTCTTTCCTGGCGCTCCTTTGATATTCTCTAGGTGGCAGAAGCGGAAACTCATGGTTCGTGTTGTCCGGCTCCTCTGATGACTTCTTCGGGCTCAGCAATCCAGCTGAGAGCTGGCCTCGCCCGATCGCCTTTCGGGGGGCGAGCCCGGTGGAGCCCAAGGATGCAGAGCTGCTTGGCTTTGAACTGGGGTCATCGGCCTCTCAGGGCACCCTGGAGAGCCTCGCAGTTCTGGTGGCCATTCGCACCTGGGAGGGAAAGTTGAAGGGCGCGGGAGTGGAGCTCGTGGTGCAGTCAGACAGCACTACGGCACTCAGCCTCACTCAGAGGTTGGCGCACGGTTCGGCGCTCTCAACTTCTTGGGTGCGGAGCTGGCTGTGGAATTGGAAAGGCTGGGCTGGAGAAGGTGAAGCCCCGGCGCATCCCAGCAAGTGGGACGGAGAAGCTGCCGGAGGAGTTGGAAGGCATCAACATCGGGCCGGTGGCCGGCAGGGACGTGACCTTTTACACCCTGCCGCCGCCTGGCCTGCGGCAGGACCTGTGGGGCAGCGTGCCTAGGGAAAGTGCCGCTGTGGAGCAGGTGGCCGCGGAGGAATCCGGTTGAGGGCTGTCGGGCCTAGGGCGCCAGGGACCGCCTCACCGTTTACCTGGACACCCTGCCGTGAGCGGGGCACCGCGGCACAGACCCAGACTGCAAGCTGCCTTGCAAAAGGGGTCGGGTCTGTGGAGTTTTAAGAAGGGAAGGATCAGGTCGGTAAGGAAGGCAGGAAGATAACCCCTAGCGTAATTCGAGGTAAAGGAGGGTCCCCCCCCGTTCCCAAACAAGGACTATCTAAGGTTTTAGGCCCGTTTTTGCCTTGCCGCTGAGTTGCACCACTCATGAATCAACCGATTCCCGCCTGCCGGCCAGCAGCGGGGATCGATGACAGGCCAGAGGTCAAGGTTTGGGCGCCTGAGCCCGTAGAGGCCCAGCCATGGAAGCTGGCCATTCTCTTGCTGCTCTCCGGCGTCGGGCTGCTTGTCGTCCAGATGGTCTGGAGGATGGGCGAGGCACGCATACGCTGCTGCGCCGACCGATCACAGTCGAGGGCTCCATGGCGGGGAACTATGGAGCGCCGATTTGGGGGGCGAGGGGCGTGCCAGAGAGACGCTTTGCTGGTCGGCGTGGACGTGGTGCGCTGCAGGCGCAACGGGCTGGCTTGAGTTCCACCCTTCTTGACTTCGTGGAGTCTGCCCCGTCCCCTGCCGAGTGCTTGGTAGCTGATCGCTTCGATGAGCTCGATCCTCCAGCCTCGCCCGCATCCGTGTTCTCCGGGGTGAGCTTGGAGGAGTAGAGCAAACCTACCATCTTCAGCAAGGCCCAGGCGCTCCACACTCGAACCTTCAGCTCTTCTTGTTGGGAGAGTTCTTCGAAGGATGGCCCGGGGAACCGCAAGTGGTACACTTGTGTTCCCTCTTCGCTGGAGCTAGACACGCTCCCCCAGGTGGGACCTCTGCGCAGGGTCCATTGCCATTGTTCCAAGCAAAACACTTTGGGAGCCTGAACTCTTTCCCGAACCCTTTCCTCCCTTTCCCTTCCCTGAGCTGTGGTTTGTGCCCGCATTCTTCCCAGCGTCCTCGGCCCAGGATTGCCTCTTCCTCTTCCAGGCCTGGCAGATCGGCTGGGCTTGTCTGAACCCCAACCTCGCACTTCCTTTGTGACCTGACGAGAGATCTTCTCCTCCGGGGTGTCCGGGACTCCTCTGCTGCCTTGAGCCATCCAAGCGGTGCCCGGGAGGATGACCTGCTCGTTCCAGTACTTGTCGTCGTCCACTAGCTCTCAACAGCGTCGCCCATGGCTTGTCCGCGTCGAATCCCACCGGGACATCCGAGCCAAACCCCTCCAGCCATGGTCGCCCGTGAGGTGCTCCGACCTGCCTCGGTCGTCTGCTTGACAAATGAGGTGCCAACAGCCGGGGAAGTTCCTCACCAGCTTCTCGATGTGCGTTTCGTAGGCGTTGAGGTGGGTCTCCAGCATGATCAAGGCGGTCCGGTAAACTCGGTAACTCGCCTGCCACATCTCGAAGGTCGTGGGCCCTGCAACTTCTCGTGTCATGAAACCCTCCAGCGTCGGGATGTAGACCCTGAACCTGCTGGTGCGAAGCGCCTTCTTGCCATAGGGGACCCACACTGCGAAGTCTGCATAGGGGGCTGCTTTCAACACCTCGGTCCTGCGACTCATAGCTGAGAGCTGTTCCATCGAGGGTTCCTCTTCTTCGGGGGGGAGACACCTACTACCTTGACATAGTTCGCCACCCATAGCGCCCTCTTTTCCTCCGGCTCTACTAAGAACTCCGTCTCGTCACCCTGGTCCAGGATGTGCGTCATCTTCATCTTGGGCTGAAGGCTCTTCTGAACTGCCGCGCCCGCGCCCCCGCCGTTGCTGGTCCTGACTGGCGCTTCCCAAGGGTGTGGGTCTTCCCACTGATCCCAGGACCCACCGTTCTTCACGTAGTAGATCCTCCTCGCCAACCCACCTGTGAGGCCTGAATGGCTGTCAAGGCCTGACCTCCATTGCCCGCGGACTTGCAGGCCAAGGCCCAATGCCGCAAATGGCCGGATGTCCTCTCCCGGATCGCCCATCACTGCCTGCCAGACCGCGTGGTCCACCTGATAGTGAAGCCTCAGGTCCGTCATCGTGTGAATCCGCATCGCCTCGGCCTCCGTGGGGAAGGCCGACATGACTCAGGCAAGCAGGAAAAATGGGAAAAAAAAGGCAAGGTGTGGTGGTGGTGGGCACTTGAGCCAAAATGGCCCACGGCCCACCACCACCCTTGGAGTGCAGAAATGTCATGCACATATTACATTCCGCGGGCTCCATTCATATGTTTCACTACAACGCGTCGGAACAAAATTGTGAACTGATCACGCCCTGCCCACGGTTTTAGGCAGGGCCACACCGCGATCCAGCGCACCCCGCTTTCCGGGAAAGCGGGGAGCGAGGTTGAGACACATTTTGTAGCACCTGTTGCAGGATGCTCAGATATCAAGGAGCACTTCGCTAAAGCAAAAGTGGCAGGGAAGATCAACCTGACGTCAGTCACTGAACAAGAAGACTTCAATATGGGGAAACATGGCTCTCAAGTCTTTGCAGCCTGAAAAGGATTCTTTTTGGCAGGACATTGCCAAGAGACATTGCGAAGATTGAGCAGAAGAAACGCATTGTCTGAAACTGCTCGGGTGTTTTGAGGATGCTCTGCCGGACTGTCAAGCATGTGGGCCCTGCTGGAGGTACAGGCCGGTCGTTTCTTTCAGAAACCTTTCGGAGCCCAAAAGGACTCAGCATCAACTGCGACGGTTCTCACGAACATGCCTGCTCAAAAGAAGGGGAACGCAGATAGGTTCACCGTCTCTTTGCCGTCGGCTCTTAGACTGCTGCATGGGTGACTTCAAAACGCGCCAGTCATGTAGGAGCGTCGTTGGTTCCGTTGGTCAGACATCTCTTGATGATTCGTCATTCAGTCATTTGAACAAGAACAATATCGAAAGAGCGCTGCGCCCATGGAATCCTAAAGCTGTGAGAGAATGAGCAACTGGGCAGAACTCCATGGCGGCGTTCCTTGTCTAACGCGCAAGTTGCTCAACAACGTTCCAAGCGGATCCACCAGGGTCGACATCGAAGCGAAACTCGCTATGCGGGGTCAGCAAAGAAGAGGCTGCAAAAGACTGGAGTTCCCCATCCGGGCGGAACACGTCGAACGGTTCACAATTGGGGGGCGCTGCGAATGTGACGCGAGGGGCAACCTGACCCAAAGGTGGGGGTTCAGGGCGAACGGCTAAGAAGGCGCCCCAAAAAAACACTGAGCCATTTGCCCAAAGTCGAGGTCAAAAAAGGTTAGCCGGACTTCCCGTCTAGGACAACGGCGCTGCGCACAGACTAGCGTCGACGGAAGTCCGGGCCTCCGCAAGCCGAAAGAAACCTGGGCGCCAGAATGATTATGAATGTAGACGAGGGCGGGAAGCGCGTCCCAGCCCCAAGCTTGCCAGAGATCGTTGCGGCAAAGCCGGGACATGGGAAGTGTGTTCGAGGCTTACGCACCTCGGCCTGCTCCGGCCGCAGAAAGGCTTGCCATGAAACTTATACGACTTTTACGTCGCACGTGCTCGGCCGGTCGGCGGAGACACGCCCACAACACTGGGATCCGCGGCTGCGTGACAGCACAAAGAACAGAGGCTCCCTCCGAGGGATCATCCGGCATAGGAAGAGCCGATCAGAGGGCGTCGCACGCGTCGCGCGTGGCCTCACAGCCTAACACTCCACTACTTTAACCACACAAGGTCATTTTCCCTTGGTGTCGACACACACACACACACTCTCGCAGGTGTCACAAAAATCTAAGCAAGCATACAACTGTACAGCTACACGGCTCAAAAATGGCTTGGCCCGCCCCGGTCCAAGCATAGGACGTGTTGAATCCAAGCACCTGCGCCCGCAAAGCGGGCTGGCTTCTGTCGCCTAGTCGAAAAGGGCTGACAGCTGACGCCTGCAGTCAAGGTAACGCGCAGCGCTCCGTCTGACGCAATCTCTCTGATAGTCTCCATATCTCCAATGTCCCCTGGGACCACGGGGATGATGCTGCTGCATTGCAGCGCACAACTACGAAGCCGGCCTGCTCTGCTCCCTGACCAATCCCACCTGCTCCAGTTCAGGCTTCAGACACAAACATATCCTGCGCTGGCTCTCTGCGAAAATTGTACCCTCCAGTGACCGATTGCTCGCCAGTGCAACTCCCTCCATGTTGACCAGGCACCTTGATGTCCACCACTGCGTGACCATGCACTAGGCTGTCCAAATCCGGGTTCATGGCGCCTCAAGGTGTCGGCCTGCGGTACTGTGCCCCTGGCAGGGCCCTTGAGCCACAGCTTCTTGCCATGAACAACTGTTTCGCGCATTACGTCGAGACGAGCTGGACGGGGCAGGTGACACGGTACGTGTATTTCTGCGCCCGAGTCGGTCTCCTTGAGACTCACAACCTCCTGTCAGCATCAAAGCTTGAGTTGTTAGGGGATCATCGTGAGCTGGAACAGAAGCTCGAGGGCGCAGCAGATTTGTCGCGCGCACGACCTACGAGACGCCGCAGCATGGCTGGCGGGCGCGCGTTCTGCCTGGGAGCGTTTGACACCTTGCGACAGACAAGCGCTGAACGTGGAGGGCTGCATGAGCAACTCAACAAATGTGACACCTCTGTGGGGGAGACAACGGAGCCTGCGCATGTCACACAAGCATCGTCAACCAGATCCAGTCGCGTGTCCCACGACCAATCTCATGATCACGATATATCACGATCACTACACTGCCTCGATCTTCCCTACGGAGGAATTGCAGCGCATGTGCCTGGGTGTGACCGTGTCCAACTTTGCAAGCCCTAAACGTGAAGAAATCAAGAACAAGCACAGGGAAAATAACATGTGAGTGGAAAGACTAGGCGCGGTACGCCATGGAGCGTCGACTCTCACGGGAACGCAACGGGGCGGCGACGGTCGAAGACACACTTCGAGGCTTCACGACGGAAAACGACCTGAACAAGGATGGTGGAGGAAGCCTGGTCAAGCTCGATGGCGCTGTAGCTACCACGGAGGCAAACGGGGCACCTTCTGCATATGGGTGAATACACGGACGAGAAACTGAAGAACCACGCAAACGGAGAGGAATGTCTGGTCTGCGCATGCACCCCGGGATTTGCAATAGTGGGCTGTGGACAGCCACAAAGATATCTTGAATTCAAGTTCGATCCCGGGCCTTTGGGACGCATGAGTTGAGTGCCTGGAGCGCGCGATACGAGATAACGCCCAAGTGCAAACATGCCTTTAGCAGCCAACGCGGGTCCTGAGGATCATGGCTTCACTGCCACAGTCCACCAAAGGACGCTCATCGTGTAACAAATGGATCTTCAGGATGCTGTCCGCGCAAGCGAGCGGCTTTCTCTTGCGCGGCGTCAAGTTGCTGGACTCCAGAATTATTACGCGTGCGTTGCTGACAGCCTTCCGCACTTCGCCACTATGTGCATGCTTCCGGTTGGCCAGCGGAAGTTCGGCACTGCGCAAGATGGGTCTGGCCGTGATTCCCGCACCGCGATTCACGATTGGGATGGGGGACATCATTTCAATTATTTGAGGCATCTGTGAGTCGGCTCGATGTACAAGTGTTTAAAGCTGACTGTTTCTGTTTCACATACTCAGTATGGGTTTGCACCATTCACTGGCGTATGCGGGTGAGACTTGAGGCAATTGGGCCCAGGTGTGTACATGACAAAATGACAAAACATGCCAAATGTCGCATGGCTACTCATCAAATTCTTTGCCATCAATGGCGCAGGTCCTTGCTGCAACAGACCCTTCTTACCGAGCTCACATCTTCACGCCTCGTTGACCGAAACTGCGCCATTCTCGATCGCCCAGTGCTCTATGGTCGCTGCCTCCAGCAGTCACGTCCGTCTCGCTGGCTCCAGCAGACTCTGGCCCTCTCTTTCTCTTTCTCTCTCTCTCTCTCTCTCTCTCTCTCTCTCTTTCTCTCTCTCTCTCTCTCTCGTTTGCGGCCCGGGCTAAGTGCTCGAGATCGATGCGTCGCAGCGCCTTTCACTCGATTGAAGCGCCGGCTGGAAGCCCCTTTCATCCCGATGCCCCGACGCAACGCGCCGTGTCCGCTCTCCCCACGCCTCCCGCAGGCCTGGCAGCTGCTCACCTGTCCGGTTCCAGGAGTGCCGTCGCAAGGCCGGAGGCAATTGAAAGCCTCATCGCCATCTCGCCTGGCTGGCCTTGATCCCAGCTGACCTCAGCTGTTCCCTGCCTTGGGAGGCAACACAAAGTGTTTACGGAATCCGCCCCCAGCATTCCCAACATGCCCAGCCTCGCCAGCCTCGGGTGCATCTCCCCATGCCTCGAAGGAATTGCCATGCAAATGATCAAGGCCGGGGGTCACTTAATCTTTGCCACAATCCCATGTATAATATATATATATATATATATTTATTTATTTATTTATTTGTAGAATGCATACATCCTGAACAATGATTGCCGTGGTCTCAGCGAAAGCGATCCATGTTCAGAACACCTCTCACGAAGATCGACGCCTCCATCTCTGGCTGAGGCTCCTGTCACTCGTAGGCTGTCACCCGATGCGGCCTAGGAAGTGTCCAGTCCTCGGGTAAAGGCCTCGGGGAATCCCACGAATTGCCCAGCTTCTCATTGAAGGTGAGTCACTCTCTTTCCTCTCTACATGTCGATCTCTGCCGAGCGCTCAACTCTCTCCAAAAACCTGAGCCTCAGCCCCGTGCCTCTTGGGGATGGCTCGTGTTGGCGGCTCCTGAAGTGGAAGCTCCGGAAAGCGCGCACCCTGCCAGCTCTGCCAGCTCTGCCAGCTCTGCCAGCTCGGCCTCTTCTGGCTCTGCCGGCAGCTCTGCGGCACTCCACTCCACCTTCGTGCCCGTCAGGCCAGCTACGCGGAACCCGTGCCCCGCGCACCTGCGTGCCATAATACTGCAGGATGCCTTCGACGAGTTCCTTGCGCGCCGCCTGCCATGGAGTACAACCGCAGGCCACATGGGCCGAGCCATATGCCGAGCCATATGCCGAGCCATATGCCACGGCAAGCCAAGCGCGTGGGTCATGCGAAACGCGACGGGCCATTTGGGGCCTGGCACTCGCACCAACTCGCACCTTGCCTCCACAGCTGGAAGAGCACCGGAGATGTTCACAGCCCTGGCAACGTCAATGTAGTTGTGTTGGCTTTGGCGAACATGGACATCCTTGGTGCCTTTCGGGATACACAATGTAAGACTGATATGGTCTAGTTTGGAGATAGAAAACCATTGTTCTGCCGAACTCTGAGAAAGGAAGCGCAAACGGGTGGATGGCCCAACCAAAGTGGGTGGAATGGCTCATTGGAAAACGGATTGCCATGAGACCTCCAACTTCCATGGCTCAAGATGCTGGGCAGGCAGGTTGACTTCAAAACTTGTATGCCTCTCATGGCCACTCTTGGCTTTCAGAGTTCAGCCCAGCTTTGCCTAATAGCCCAGTCCATGCCTAGTCCAGCTCAAAAGCCCGCTCCGCACCCCAGGCAACTGCCCTTGCCTAATCCCAAGCCCAGCTAACTGCAATCCAAGCCCAGTTCAGCCCAATCCATAGCCCCTTTGCCCGGCCCCCCGTACACTTTCTCAAGCCCCTCGACTCAGGTGTGAGAGCCTTGGTCATTGCCGAGGCAACGCGAAGTTACAATGAATCCAGCGAACTCTTCAGATGCAAAAACAAACATGTCCAACTGTACCCCCAACGCATGCACTGGCACCTCCTTTCCAGCGTGGCTGAAGCAAGGCCGAACTTCGTCCGCAGAATCTGCAGGTCGCCCTGTGCAATCGGGTCTCGATTCGGAAGGTTGGAGAATTGGAGCATGGAGAGCTCTCAACGCTCGTTCCTCCAAGTCGGATCTGCCCAGCGAAGAGAGGGATGCTAGCCAACTGGGCGATGCCCGGAAAGTCTCCTCTGGACTCGAGCCACCGCCAAGAGCCAAAGAAACTAGGCCAGACAAGAGTCATATCAGGTCCCCGACCCTGTCCTGAGCACCGTCCTGCTCGCAGGCAAACTCTGCACGCCTGGACACGGCCAAAAACGGATTGACGGTTTTCAACTTTGCTCGCTCCTCTCATGCTGCCGCGCGCATGCGTGGCTCTGCCCCACCTGGCACGAACTCTCTGCCCGCTCAGCTCGGCCTGGCCTTGACGCTGCCAAGTCCACTCGACTCTGGCCTCGTACAGCTCCAAGTTACCACGAGACGGCACCACCAGCCGAGCCTGAGGCAAAGGCTGAGGCCAGTTTTGCGGATCCCTGCGAATGTGCCTCAACCTGTTGCTCTCTGGCAATGCTGTAATCTGCATCTGGCAAGAAGGTGTTGGCATCCTGGCAGATATCTCGGAGCCAAGCACAACAAAACACACGGACGTGCTTAGTGGTATCCCGGTATCCCCTGTCTCGCTCAGGGCGAGTCCTTCGTGCCACCCCAGCGCTTCTGCTGCTCAACCGCCTGCCTCAAGTCCGGCGGCTCTGTGAAACACGATTCGAAGCGCCGAGCTCTGCGCATGAGATCCTCAAACGTATTACTGGCGAAGTCCGCAGCTTCCTCGCATGGAAACTGCAAAACGCCTGCACTTGCGCTCACCTTGCTCATCGTGTATTCAGTGCCCATTGCCTTTGACCAGCACTTTGAAAGCCCCGTGCTGTGGCGAATCACATTCCTTTTTGCTCACAGGTTGACCGTCCGAGAGCAGCAGTTTCAAGGACGGCTGAAGCCTCACTTCAGCCTAGTCAGCCAGCTCTGAACTCCGGGTGAAACAGGGAAGAACTCAGTCCGTGAGCTGCACAGGGAACAAAAGAGTGACTAAAATTGAATGCTGCCAAGCGAGAGACGAGCCGAGCTTGGCTTCAGCACTTCTTATCGGGTCTTCATCTGCAATATTCAACGCGAAAGCAGGGTTTCAAAAGTGTTCCGCTGATCTGCCAGGTTGGGAGAAAGCCGTCTGCTAAGACACCTGCTGTGCGGAGTCTTGCAGAGTGTTCAAAAGCCTATGCAGCATACGGCGGGTTGAGATCGAGCTCTGTCAGTTTTATACCGACAAAATATTCCCTGCAACTGCTCTCTCTAACCAACGAGAACGCAAGGTGCGACACAGGCCAGGACTGCGCCAATTGCGCTAAACTGCCATAGGAGTCTGCAAATGTCGTGCCGAATGCCAAGCAGCCTTCTTGGAATCTGGTAAGGCGAACTGAGATCTGCAGACTCTGGGGGCAGACTGGCCCTGGCTCCTGTGTCACATTGCCAGTGCATTGATCAGAGCCGCTGAAGCCGACCGACTTAACTCGGCTGAAGCAGGCGCATGTTATGCTAGCCTGGAATGACCCCCGCAGCAGCCACCAACGCTGCCCGGGATTCCAAAGTTGAATAACACACATGTCAGATGTGAGGCATGTAAGATGTAGATGGTACGTTTTACAGCCATGGCAGCCATGTGGTTCATTGATGAGCATGCCTTGCACGAACCTTGAACCCCTGGGATCGAACCAAGCGGATCAATCTGACTCCTCTCGCGCGCGCCAAAGGGTGTGTACATCTGTGCCGTGTGCAAGCACACACCCATATGCGTCAAAAAGGCAAGGGGCCGACATGTCAGGCATCTGGCATGTTCACGTGGCTCTCAGGCGGTCAAGAGCTGCTCGGATTCCTTCAGCTACACTTGGCCTCAGTGCCAAATGAAAGTGTCACCCTCCATTCCTCCTTTCCGTCTCCTTTCCACCCTCCCCCCCCCCCCCCCCCCCCCCCCCCCAGTTTTTGTGGACATGCCTGAAGCGCGTAATATTGGCCAGGCCGAGCATGCCAGCCACGGACATCTTGGACAAGATTCCCTGCAAGTTCAGTAGCTCCTTGGAATTGGTTGCGGCGAATCCTTCGCGCGTATTCCTCTCCTCTTCCAAGACTGCAAGGATACTTTCTATTGGAAGGTTGATTCCCTTCCTCTCATACCTCCTCGTTTTTGCTTTCAACGCAGCCAGCATTATGTCCAGCATCTGCTCCTCAGACATCTCTTGCAGCAGTGTTCGCTGCCGCTTGTCCATCTTAGCTCCGGAATGGGGCAAATGACAGAAGGTGCAGGTCGAGCCGTTGACGCAGGCGTCTTTGCTGGCGTAAACGCAAGGTCTGGAGCAGAACTCTGGATGCCCTCCGCTGCCAAGAGAGGTGATGATGATCGACTTCTCTGACTCAGGCATAGGCTCACTCGGCTGACCTGGCTGACTCGGCTGAGGAAACCGCCCTGACAACTGGTCGATGTACTCCCGACACTGCCACTCCTCTGTGGTCATCTGGTGCTCCCAGGCAATTGATGGTGCAGAGAAAGAGCGTGGTGCAGGCACTGGACTGTCCTCCTCCTGCACATGGATAAATGTTCCCAAGTAGTACAACGCCATGCCTACACATCAAAGAAACCCTTTTTGTACAGACAAGTAGCGCTGTGAGCCAGCATTGTTGCGGCCAAGCGTGTGGTTAAATGGACGCCTGAAACCTCAAACACGCCCTGCAAGGTTGACTGGTCATTGCAACCAAGGAATCCAGTCAGACATGTCGCGTAGCGGCTTCCAGGTCGACACAGCCTGCTCCGGCGAAGCAAGCAGCTCATCCATGGCCATACGGAAGTCATTGAGCAAAGACCTCGCTTTCGTCGCAAATCGACGCGAAGCAAATGAAACGAATCCATGGGCTCCCCAACATCTCCCTTAGGCTCCACCAGCCCGGCGCAAAGGAGAGGACCATAGGCCGGGCCTGAGGTGATCGGCGCAGGAAGGCGGAAGGACAAGGACAAAGGATGGAAGGCGCTTCGCTGGATTCGCATTTTCACGCTTCACCAAGTCGTGGAAACGGATGACTCCGTCTCAGACACAGAGCTCTCCTGGCAGAGCATTGGCTACGTTGAGTGGAGTAGCTTGACGGACGGTACGAGTAAGTAATCGTAGAACTGCACGATCGCTGGCATTCGGGAATGTTTGGGAGGGAAACTACCGCCAAGCCTGCTCCCTTTGAAGTCACGACCCCTCATGAGTATACGCCCAAATGGTGCGAGGTTCCTGATCGTGGCGGTCTGCGATCTCCGCCAACCTGGCGTCAACTGCATGTAGGCCCCCTCTGAAACCATCAACTGTCAAGCTGCCAGCGAAGCCCATGAAGCGCAAAGAGGCTGGCAAAGCACGAGGCCTGCAAGGCTCTTTCTGACAACCTTGAGCCAACTTGTGCCCACTCTTTGCTGCCATCTTTGGCCAGCACTCTCTCTTTTGGCCAGTCGCTGCGCGCTGACTGCCAGGTCGCACAGCGGGCTCAATGTGGGGCAGCGGTCCTGACCACACGCGACACGATCCGTCACGCTGCGGTTTGCCGACTCGGCGAGTCGCCCACCTCCAACTTCTCCTCCATACCCCAGACACAGAGTCGAGCCAGCGGCTCCACTGCAGGATCCTTGGACTCCAGCCCGAGAACTCTAAGCTGTATATGCTGTAGCCACTTGCATGCTTTAGTATGCTATTGCTCACGCTGTGCTGTCTGGCTGCACTTCCGAACAGTGCCATCAGCGACTCTGCACTGCGCTCTGGCAGGCCCTTCCTGACATTGCACGGCTTGCATGGCCCAGCTTCTAGCTGCGCCCAGCCTCGTGCGCTTCACCAGCAGCCAAAGCATGGTGGCAGCACAGCCTGAGCTTTGCGAGTTGCCAGTGGCAAGTGTCCAATGTTCCATGCAAGTGACTTCGAATACCAGGCATCAACTGGAATCGGTGCACGTCCAAGCTTCCGTAGACATCCGTCTGTGGCCCCACCACTCCCTCCATCAGCTCTGCAGCCTGGCCGGGCGTTTTGTTTCAAGACTGACACCCGTCGCGTCCGTCGCGTCCGTCGCGTCCGTCGCGTGCGTCGCGTGCGTCGCGTCCGTCCTGGAAGTCGCCGCGGCGGCTCAGCTTCGGAGCCCTCCCTGCAGTGGAGCAAGCCCAGTCCACCAGGCAGCCCTGGCCCTCTGGGTCCTGCACGAAGGAAAGTGGCATGCAGCAAACAGAAGCATTCGATGGCATTCGATTCGATGGCATTCGATGGCATTCGATGGCATTCGATGGCATTTGATTTATGCGCACAGCTAAACAAAGCCATTCCTCGCTGCAAAGCACGTTCCAAGGATTCACGTCGCAGTGAAAGACGCCATTCCTGCATGAAGATTTGCACCGCTTGTGCAGCTAAAGCGCCTGGCACCTGCCTGTTGGCCTCCTCCACAGCCCTGGCCACTTGCAGCCAGCAGCCCACTGCACGCAGCAGCTGAGAGGCAACAGCGGGGGCCAGATCTGGCCGGAGACATGGCCATGGGTCAAAACCCCGTACCCCCAGTGAGCATCTCAATCCCCACTAAAAAGACCAACTTGGGTGGTGCACTTATCCCAAAATGGTACCATTGGTTTTGCACCATGGCCACATTATACAGAGTCAATCATGGGATCCCTGCCTGCATCAGGAAGCTTCACCCCGGGAGCGTAACCTCATCAGCACAGGCCTGTGTACACGCCTGCTCTCTTTAGTACACCTCCTCACAAGTGGCAGGTGGTGAAATGGTGCCCTCCAATCAAAGTCCCACATGGCAGACTTTTTCACCCTCAGCTGGACCAAAGCTGCGTCAGCTGCTCTGGCAAATCCTCCAAGAGAGTCGTTTTCGCCATGTGGCCTTGCATCTCACCCAGGTCTTCGCTACAAGCAATCATTGAGAATCATGCTGAGCGCCCCACAATTGTGGCCTGTCCAGGCCAGTGCACAAGTAACCAGCAAGAAGGGATACCTTGGCCATAGCTCCGACTGCCGCAGATCATTAATGTACATGTATTCATTACGTTGTATATGTAAATGTTCGGCTTGTGTATCACATTCACTTTCCACACAACAGTTCTTGGTGAATATGGACTGGTGTGAGGCCATGAGGATTGCAGCTGGCATGCTGGTCGTGGTCTGGATACACCAGCAGCCCAAGCAATAGAACCTCAGGCCAAGCCCATGCGAATGCCCACGTGCAACAAGTTCGTGTCACGGCGTGCCTTGGTAATCACCGGCACCATATGGAGGAAGTCCAGAAAAGGCAGCACCACCAAATCTAAGGTCATTGGCAGGGCGCACACCTGCCACCAGCGTCTGTCCCATACCCCGTCTCCCCATCTCCTGGCTGACGCCTTCCGGGCAAAGAGGTCTTGGCTCTTGGAGACCAGCCACCAGAGGCACTCGTCAAAAACCACCGCGGGCAGGGCGGCGCGCACGAAGGCGCCGTAGCCCACCTGGCTACAAACACACGAGGCCGGGGCGCATGGAGCGCATGGGGCCCGCGGGGCTCCGAAACCCGCAAGACTTGAGGCGCAAAGCGACGCCGAGGGCACCGTGGAAATCGCGATTAGCGCAAATCGCCGTGCAGAGCCCCAGAAGCCCGGCCAGAACCAGCCGAAGGGGTCTCTGAAGCTACTTCTCAGGCAGGTGCCTCATGCAACAGAGTGAGACAGAAAGCTGAATACAATAACGTGACAAGCATGTGGCTTCCAGCGTTTCAACTGCGACATCTTATAATGTGTATAATAGATATTATATATATGTATTGTCGTGTATTATATATTATTGATTTCAAAGACATGCAAGCGGAGAATCAGTCAGAAGGCCCCTGACCTGCTACAGCGGCGACCGGCGGCAAGTGAGGCTACAACGGGAAGATGTTGACGCTGAACGCATTTACACGGAAATGTCGTTAGGAGGTTTGAGTAGGCTCAAAAGACTCAAGACCTAGCCGAGAGCTGGCTTCACTTATGGAAGATGGGGATGCAGCTTGTCTTCTCGCTCATGGGCGCATGATGGCGCCTGCGTGGCTTCAGCCACAAAGCACGGACCGGGTCCGCAACCGCCACAACCTGCGCAGCCGTGCTACGGGCCAGCTGCGAGAGCCCGGCGCACAGCGCAGGCCCTAAAGCTGGACGGGTCGCTTGGAACCTGACCCCTCTCGCGCAGACCGTGTTCGGACCGAATGGAGGCAGAGAAATGAAATTGAGCCGATCGCGACAGCATCACGAGGTAAGGCAGCATTGCGCCAAATCACGAAATGCAGTCAGACTTTGGCCAGCTCAAAGCCAATATCTTTGGGACTTTGATCCCAGGGAGTTCAGTTGGGATTGTGCTGATGGCGCAAAAAAAGTCTAAAAACCATGTTTTATAAAACGGGTTGTTGAAAAATCAACTGGGCTGGTTAGCACTTAATTTGCTTGGCGTTGACGTTGACGTTGACGTTGACGTTGACGTTGACGTTGACGTTGACGTTATCGTTATCGTTGACGTTGACGTTGACGTTGACGTTGACGTTGACGTTGACGTTGACGTTGACGTTGACGTTGACGTTGACGTTGACGTGTGTGTGTGTGTGTGTGTGTGTGTGTGTGTGTGTGTGTGTGTGTGTGTGTGTGTGTGTGTGTGTGTGTGTGTGTGTGTGTGTGTGTGTGTGTGTGTGTGTGTGTGTGTGTGTGTGTGTGTGTGTGTGTGTGTGTGTGTGTGTGTGTGTGTGTGTGTGTGTGTGTGTGTGTGTGTGTGTGTGTGTGTGTGTGTGTGTGTGTGTGTGTGTGTGTGTGTGTGTGTGTGTGTGTGTGTGTGTGTGTGTGTGTGTGTGTGTGTGTGTGTGTGTGTGTGTGTGTGTGTGTGTGTGTGTGTGTGTGAGTGTGTGAGTGTGAGTGTGTGTGTGTGTGTGTGAATGTGTGCGTGTGCGTGTGTGAATGTGTGCGTGTGCGTGTGCGTGTGAACGTGTGAACGTGTGCGTGTGCGTGTGCGTGTGCGTGTGCGTGCGCGTGCGCGTGCGCGTGTGCGTGCGCGTGCGCGTGCGCGTGCGCGTGCGCGTGCGCGTGCGCG